AAGACGGAGCCGTCGTTCCGACATAGGCAAAAGGCTGCAGTGCATGCACGGGTCCGTGAGAGCCTCTTGCAGATGTTGAACACCCAAACACGACGGGCAGATGTCATGACCGTCGTCAGGGAGAAGATTATTAGGGCACAGCTTACAAGTCAGTGGAAAACCAGTGGCTATCGAGCTGTGAGCCATAGTTACTCGCTAATAACACCCTCGGATAGTACCGTAAGGTGAAGTTAAGCGGGATGAAAAAATAATAAAAATAAAATAAAACGATTACCTCGGGTGAACCGACAGGTAATACCAACAAAAATTTTATGAAAAAAGATAAGAAGTGTCTAAAATGGCCGGCGGATTGAACCGAGGGACAAAAAGTGTTACATGGATACGAGGAAAAAACACTCTAAGTAACGTTAGATAACTTATGTCAACGGGAGACCGTTAACTCATAGCGCGGCAAACACAAGCCACCGGATTGCACCGAGAGGCACAGAGTGTTACCGACGAAGCAATATGAAAAAACAAAACTCACCAAGTGCCGTTAATTTAAATCCAAATCCTTGAAAAAATCCAAATCCTTGAAAGAGCGTAGACACGCGCTGTCACAGCTTGTGAGGACGAATCTCGCTGCTCTTGTAAGCTGCACTTGACAGCGCGTCACTTAACCAATACAACCTATCTCAACTAGGCGAGAAAGCGAAAGAGGTAGAGTGCTGAGCTACTGTAGCTTTACCCTCCAGGGCTCAGCATACGTCACGCCACGTGACTTTGTTGGTATATTCTCTCGACCTATCTAGCTGGCGCTGCGATAATCCATAGTGTTTACACTGCCTCTGGCGGTCAGTAAGAATGAAACAGATAATGATGCTTAAAAATGCAGCAGTTCTTCTTTTACTCAACATAAAAAAAATCTCTGGCACAAGAAGGCCCAGGAAAAACCACAGGAGCACTACACACCAACCATTCAATAGGCATCACCAAAGAACTGAACTAAACTGCGTATACAAAATGAGGCCCTAAACTAGACACAGGTGAAACTAATCAATTAACTTAAACAGAAACCATGCTGACAAACAAGGGCATACTCAGAAACTATGACAACCAAGTAAACATGAACTTCGCACAGGGGAAAGTAGGAACAAAAACAAAGATTAATCTTGACAAAAAAGTTATTTTAACATTGAATGATCTATAAGCATTACATGCTACGTTTTTTTTTTTGCAAGCTGTTTATATTAGCCTTTATTAAATTTTATGAAATTAAAATGAATTTATAAGCATTTTTTTAACTACAAGTCAATCCATTGAACCGTTTACACAGACTTTAAACTATGAGATCTAAAAAGATTTGTTATCCTGTGGCTCCCTTTGGTCGACAATATTAGTATTATGGCCTTCATCTCTGATTGATATAAATGGCTAATATTTAAAAAAAAAAAAAAAAAAATCTGTTAGCACTCCAAGCATCAGAAGTTCATGAAACTGCATGTTGTCCATGAGTATGAAGTTCTGTATGATTTGGATTCATACATTCAAACTGATGGAAAAAAAAATAGATGTCTTATTCTGTGGTTCCCTCTAGTGGACAATATTATGGTCCGTCGGCCATTTTGAGTTGGCAAAAAATTATTTTTCTAACTCCTCCTAAACCACTTGACTGATTCACACGACATTTTGCATGTATCATCTATAAACACTTATGACAAAAAGTTATTAAAATAATTCTAATTATTCAAACCGTTTAGAAGATATAAGCCCATTCATTTGGTAGCCATGGCTCCATACAGTCATTTCTCAATACCAAGTACGCAAACTTCGGACTTGAGTCCATGGTAGTTTGGACTTGACAAGTTCGACTCAGGAGAACGAACTCCCGAGGACGGGAGGACGCAAGTCCGATAATTCTGCAAATGGAACTCCGCTCTGGCTACTCAGGTTATCTCTTTATATATATTTAGGCTACAATAAAACAAAATATGTTATAAAACACCACTCTGCCTCTTTTCATTTTCATTTAAAAAAATCTTAAACATATTAATGGCCACACAAACGTGGTTCAGGCAACGCAATTGATTATCTTCACTGCATATATTTATAACACGAAATATAAAACACAACCCTGACTCTATTTGTTTTCATTTTAAAAATATGATACATCAATTAAGAAACGCAATCGCACACCTGCAGGTGATAAGTGCGTAGAAAAAGAAGACCAAATAGGTAGGTCGACAAATCTATCTATTATCTACCTATTTATGTATCAAAAATATGATACATAAAAAACATTATAATATTGATCATTAAAACTGAGATTTAGCAAAAAGAGACAGGGTTGTGTCATTTTATTATATTATAGGCTATATGTACATACAGTGAAGACAATGTAGGCAACATGTATAATAAAATAAATATTTTATATGTTTTAAATATATAAAATAAAATGACACAACCCTTTTTGTTAAATGTCAATAATAGCCATTATAAAAGTATAAGTAGCCTAAAAGGTATACGAAGTTATACAATAAGAAATAAAGCAAACGATTCAGTCAAACATAAGTCAGCTCTCTAGGCTACAACGTTAAAGTTAAATAGACTAAATATATAAAGTTATGAAACTTCACTTTGCCCTCAGCCAAAACGTTTCGCCAGGGAACAAATGATAGATTAATGAGACAAAAAAAATCGCCCGTTAGATATACACAAGCCGATTTATATCTCATGTTTAACCACTAGACTAGAGACATCCGAGCCAGCGGCAAGCCTCAGAAGGACTAGCCGAGGAAAGGCTGTTCTTGGCGGGGTACATGAGCGCTGAGCGCCTGGATCTCACAACTCCGAAAACATCAGATCAAATTTTCAAATAGGTGCTATCTTTATAAATAAACCAAAGATTTGAGCTTTAAACAACTACATTCTCGCCTGAAAAACTCGTGACACAACAGTAGCATTTTTAAATTACGCGTGTTTTCTAATCTTGCTGGTTGGTACGAGATGCATTCTGTGATACCTGGCTGTCTCAAGTCCGCACAAGTCACCTCGATGCATCCTCGGTAAAAGGGGCGGATCAAGAACACATATGGGGATTTGAACTGGACTTGGCTAGATGTGAACTTTGAATTGGAACAGTGCTTGGACAGCGACTGATGACGTTTCACAAGTCCACAAGAACACAAGTACAGACAAGAATTGAGAATATTGAGAAACGGCCCGTATCTTATAAACCATTTGATGAATCCAAATTCTTTTGACAACTTTTTGAAAACTGACAATTTGACAACTGAATTAAAGCTGTTCTGTCAAACTTTCCAGTACAAATATCTAAACATTCTTAAATCAAGATACATTTACTTGAGAGCAAAATGATTTAAGATATTATGTCTTGTTTTCTGGAAAAAAAAGTATCAAAATAAGAAATATAAATTTGTTTTCCCTTCGAATTTAAGTTTAGGTTTATTTTTCTGGTCCCATTGACAGATATTTTTTTAATCTTGACTTTTCCTAAGTCATTTTGCTTTTCAAGTAAGTGTATCCTGATTTAAAAATGTTTATGTAATGGAAAACAAGACAAATATACTGAAGAAGAAAATCATTTTTTGCACCTTGAGTCCAATGCAAGTTGCTTTGGATAAAAACGTCTTCCAAATGTACAAATATAAATGTGTACAATATGAGTAGTGGATACAGAAAGTTATTGTTTGGGTGAGATTAAAATGAAAAAAGTAATTACTAAAATACTCACTAAATTAATAAATAAAATAATTACTAATGATTACTATTAACATTTTGAATTATTTTTTATAATAATTACAAAAAAGAAAAATACGAAATTAAAAGCGTAAAAAGGCTTTATTAATTGTTTTGAGAGCATGGACCTTGGTTTGGAGAAATGTTTAAAATTGCTAGAAATGTGTCTCAAGATATATGTGTTTTCTGTATTTCTTTCCGCTGTGCTGCATCGAGCTGTTTTCGCGTTGTGATGATGAAATCATTGCATGTCTGTTTAGACACATGGTGTGGAAAAGCAGCTCGAGACATCAATGAAGGTGAAGACTTCAGGTTTAGCAGTGGCTCCATCCCAAAAACATCTGCGTTATTGCTTTCAAAACATTTTGCGTGATGTTTTCCATTCAATTTATGTATTTGCTTTGGATTAGCAGGCTGCCATGTTTTCCAAATATAAAATCACATGTGCTAATCATGAAGTCGTTCAGGATGAAGACAAATATGCTATAATTATATTTTAAATCAACTAGAAACATGGAGTAGAGTCAGCATGAAATCAAAATTGCCCCCATTTATTTTCTTAAAGTGACAATTCAGCCAAAAATGAAAAATTCTGTCATTATTTACTCACCCTCATGTTGTTCCAAACCCATATGCTGTTATTTTTTCCATGGAACACAAAAGGGGATATTTTTTTGATGAAGCTTCACGCAGCTCTTTCCATATAGAGATCATAGTGACCATCTGCGACACTCAAAAAAAAACACCATAAAAAATCTTTAAAGTAGTTTCTATGACTTGCGTGTTACATTCCAAGTCTTCTGAAATCATGAAAATATACCAGAAATAGATCAAAATGAAATTCATAATTCACTTCTCGTGTCTGAATGGATGTCCTTCATATTTCTCCATTTGTGTTCCATGGAAAAAAACAAATGGAACAACCCTTGTAAAAAAAGAAGTGCACTTCATTATACAGTACTTAAAAAAAAAGAATTTTCAAAATAATATTTTAAAAGAATATACTTCAGTATTTTTCATAAGTGAATATAGAGGCGAGTAAACAGAATTTTCATTCAATGTTCATGATTCATTTTCAATTTTCTGATAAAACCATGTCCCGTCCTACAGTGTTTCTTAATAATCATGTGATTACAGAAATAAAATGAGTAGTGACTGGCATTTTACGCTGAGTTTTCCAAGTACACTGCATCACAAAACGTGTGAAAGACGGTAAAGAGCTAAGAAAGAGAAAGGTGGATGTTATGACCTAATGTTTTTACCATGAGATGGAGTGGAGTCTTAGTGGGTCCCTTGGCAGACATCTTTTCCCACAGTCCTCTCCTCACATAGCGGACTGTGGTGCCAGCAAGCTCAAACTCCCCTGGCAGCTCGATTTTCCAGTCATTGTTTATGGATCGCTTGCCGGAGTCCTTCAGAGCTGCACCAGACAAACAGGAACAAATATATCTAATTCACATTACACAAGCATCATTCCATCAAATCGCTCTCTTTTATCAAATATAACAAAATAATTGTGTATATATTGACATGAGGTAGACCTGAGTGAGTAGCTAATTTCAAAAAGAATATATTCCTAAAATGCATGTGAATCTTTTTGTGTATAGTACCATATTCATTTTAGTATTTACAGTACAAACTGATACTTATATTGCATACAAGTCATTAAAAAAAACATTATTGATGTACAGTCACATGCATTACATTTTAATTTGACTTAATACATTTCAATGTGGGATGCACAATATTTAGCTGATCTTTAGTTAATATTGGATTTTTGTTTAAAGCAAATTTTCAGTTTTAAAAGAGGACCTATTACACTTTTCTTTATGCAATGTTGCTGTTTTGAGTATGAAAAAGGTCTGCAAAGTTACAAAGCACACAGTCACACCCAAAGGGAGTTATTCTCTATATCAGTAGACACTGTTTCTGAACCTGAACTCCCTGAAACACCTTGAATATAGTCTTGAGTTTTCTTTCAGGAACAAACGTCACAATATTCCTTATTTAAATAACTCCTGCCCACGATATATGCAAAAAAAGGGGACGAGGCCTGGTTGAGTTGCTTTAGTAGTGTGTTGAAACTTGTGGTTATGGTAAGGAACGTGACATTCAAAGCAGTTGACCAATCACAACACTCTGGTCCAGCCAACCAATCAGAGCACATCACGCTTTTCAGAAGGAGGGCTTAGGAACTAAACAGGGGTGAATTTCCCGTACAACGACATAACTACAGCTCAACCGTCATAGTACGATGCATCGTTGTAAAAAAATGACTAGCTAGTCACGACCGGTCGCATCTCTGTCGTTTAAACCACGTTAGTTTAAAGGTGCCCTAGAATGTTTTTTTTTATTATTTTATAATGTTTCCTGGGTTACCCTTATAATGTTAGTATGTTTTTTAGATAAAAAATTATCATAATTTAGAAATAAATGGCATTTTTCCTAGCCTGCTTTTAGCCTCTGATTTGAACACTCTGTTTGAAGGGGCGTGTCTGCTGTGGGATTCAGTGTAACCACGGCCACTGCTGTGATTGGCTGACATGCTTGCATGAAATAGCAACGCATTACATGTGAAACTCTCTCCCGAATACTTTTACTACTGCTATTATACGTTTTTACTATAACAGCTATCGAGATTAACGAATCGTGAGATGTTTTTAAAGTATTTAGATCTATTCCCATCACATAAAATGTTGCCGTGATGAGCATTGAGCAGATGAGTGTGTTGATCGCGAGAATGAAGATCTAATCATTGCAAAGCAGTTTCTGCACTCTCTCTGCTTTCACCAATGCAAACACGATGATGTAAATACAGTAAGAGCTTCGTTGTGCAGTAACGTGCGTCATTGATTTCATAACGAGTTTGGCAAGTGTCCAGATAAACTCGCGCTGTGTGGAAAGATTGTTCTTTGATCGCTTTCTGTATATAATTTGTTCACAAATTAAATACGATTATTTTCATCCTACTAAAAGAAACGATGTGAAGCTGATATTTTAGTCACTGGCTTGACTTACTGATGCATAAACAGTATTGAACGATTTTGAGAGAAAGATTACCTGTCTGAACTTGAACAATTACACATCAGAAAGTGTTGCTTGGTAGCTCGATCCGAGGCCAGCTCTGTATTGGCCCAAGTTGAGGAAACAGTCGGTGAAATGTTTGAAAATTTCCAGAGAAAATAAAATTAACCCATTGTTTCTTCAGAGGCTCAGATGAAGGAACTAAAAAATACTTTTGTGTTCATGTGTACATCCACGCTGAGCAACTGCCATGCTTCGGCTGCGCAGTTCCGCCTGGCATTGAGGGCTGGCATTATGCAAATATTTGGAGGCGTACATATTAATGATCCCGACTATTGCGTCACAGTCGGTATTGTGTGGAGAACCGACCGTTTTTCAGGGGTGTTTTTCATAAACGTGAATTAAATGAGAACGCGAAAACAGTCCAGTTTGAGATTCACTCTATGTCATGTCCATGCACTGAACTCTTGCTATTTGACTATACCAAGGTAAATTCAATTTTGAATTATAGGTCACCTTTAACAATATAGTACTTTAGTTATGCCACGTGCAGGTGTTTGAGAAATAACTTCTAAGAAAAAGAAAAATTTCGAGATCGGTTAATGTATTTATGCAATTAATGTATTTAATATTAGTATGGTTAATTTACATAAACAACAAAAAGCCGTTCCTTTTTAATCACGTTAACATGCAGTAATTGTTGTACACTTTACTCCCTTATGTATGCGGTTCATTCAGTCATTAACTTTCTCCATGTAACGTAACATTTTTCTGACATGCAGCTGTTATGAACTGAGGACTACTTCACTGTCTTGGTTCCCTGTCATTTTGCCTTATTTGATGTTTGACTCATTGTGGGTTCCCTCTACGTCATACTCCAGGGTTCCCTTAATCATTTATGCACGTGCACTCTTCAAAAATGCCGCTGATCATTGACACGCTAAAATATATAGGTTAAAATGTAAGTATATTAAAATGGGGTGGAAGATATAAAATGTACTGAATGTTAGCTTGCTTATTATGCCCAAGGCCCTTAACCAGTCCCAAGAGCATCATCTGAGTCCATGCGTCATCTTAACAAGAAAATATGCTTCTAACCACACCTCAAGTGTTGTAGTTCAACCACGCAAGTTTGCGACGCTGTTTGTGAATGTTCGTTGGAGCTATGGTTTCGGGAAACGCCAAATGTTTCAACTATGTTGGTAACGACAGAACTTGCGACCATAACTGGTTAACAATGCTTTTGGGAAACGCACCCCAGAGCGTTTAATGTGTTTTTTGAACGTTCAAGCATGAAAACCTATTCTAGTAGACGCCAAAAAACAAAATCAAGACTTTGTAAAAGGGCACAATATGGCCTCTTTAAAATAGGTCCCCTCCGATGCCTGTTGAAGACCCCTAATGTATAGCTACAGCACCAATTTAAAGGTATACTTCATGACAGTAATGGTGGGGATTTTAATATATTCTATAGCATTTTTATCCAAAACATCTCTGCCTTTACACAGTCCAGAATCCAGAAAAAATGTTCCCTTTTAAAATGCACCTCAAACACATTCATGCATTTGAGTCGAATGAGCTATTGCATATAATTCTTCCATCATTACCTCACATTCATCCTATTTTTATACACATACACGACTACATTATTGTTTCTAAGCAGTAGAAACTGAAGACATGTGATTGCCCACAGTCTGCTGCAATGAAAGCATAGCCTGGTTTGTTTTGGAGAGCATCTACTCTGAGCTCAATGGGAGGGGTTCACTTTCATGTCACTTCAAGATTTTGGCTGAAATAAAAAAAAACGATTCTGTTCTCTGACAAAAGATGGCAACCAGACCCAAATTAGACACATGTTTACATCTCCCTGCGTATGAATTACAGATTGAATCCTGCCAGTTCAACGTTAGCTGAAAGGCTTTATAGAACAAAATGCATGCAATGCTGAAACATTTAACCGAAATGAGGCATCTTATAGTAAGTCTAAACTTTATAATGTTCTGAAACTTAGTCTATAAGATCTGAGACTGTGGGCATTTTTAATAACTTCAACCCAGGCAGTCATGTGATCCTGACCTTTGGGAAAATTGATGTTTATTTGAGAATATGAAGAGTGAAGCGTTATTATAATCTGTCAGCATTATGTCTGTGAAATTGGATGACAAGACACATTAATTCTGAAAGCTGAAGGCGTCTTTTCAAAAACCTCTGACTTATTAAAATAAATTAAATTACAATGAATATGCTCATCAATTGTGGGCCAGCTGGACAAGTAAAGTCTTAATTAAGTTTCATAAGATTTATAACATTCTCTCAAGTGTGTTTCACTAAATACAAGGGTGAATCTCACGAAAGTCAAGAATATGTCTGGCATATTTCACCCTAAAATAAAAAGAAAGAAAGAATTAAAGCCTGTTAATAGACAATTATGATTAAGTCATATTACTGTAATGTGGGATAAAATAAAAATATATATAATCAACATTGTATTGCAGAAATAATGAGAAGTCTAAGGTGAAATATATACATCAATATACAAATACATTGCCATATATATATATATATATATATATATATATATATATATATATATATATAATTAAAATATTATTAGATAAAATGTATTAAATGTAATTAGAATTTGATGCATAAGTGTGCTTAATTGTCATGAAACTATGATCAAAAATGACAAAGACATTGTTTTCTATGACATTCACTCACAAAAGTGAATATATCCGGGGCTAAAAAAAAGTGTTTACTTAGTATTGCAGGTTTAGAGCAGCATAAAGCAAATTTGTGTAAAACGTCCTTATTGTGAGTTTTATCCTAATGTGACAAGCAGCTTGTCAGCATTGAAGCGTCATTTGTCATAACGTAGAACAAGAGACACCACCTGGCATAGTTTCTATCTACAGCCATTATCGAGTTGGTCCCATCTCAGTGTGATCCATTGTGTGGCCATTTGGAAGACCGTTGTTATGGTAACAGGTTGAGTAATTACCCAGAAAGCTATGGGACGGCTTGTCTTCCACAACTTTGATTCGTCGAGCTCCCACCGGAATGACAGCTGCCTCAATGTAACCTTTGGGAGAGAGAGAAATAAGGGGAGAAACCAGAGAAAGCAGAGCGGAAAATGAAAAAAGACTTCAATTGAAAAAGATTTCAAACTGGTGCACAGGTGGGCAGGCACAGGTGCATGTTTCTATAAACATGTATAGAAATATGACGCGCGTGTGCATATAGTACATGTGTATGTCACTACAAATAGAGTACTTTCATGGCCAATCAAAGCAGACCGTTCACAATGATTACGATAAGTCTCAATCAATACATCACTACACTGAGCAAAAGGAAAGGACCCTGAAAGAAAGGAGATAACAGCACACAAATGGCTGATGCGTATACGAGTGCGTATACGAGTAATTGCCATCAGTTCAGCTTATTTAAAGAAGAGACCTTTGATGCTGAGGTCTCACAGACACAGGCAGCTTCGTGAAACATGTTTTGCAGGGTGAGATTAGTGTGACCCTGACTGGGATGATTTGACCTGCAGTTTGGATGACAGTCTGAAATGATTATTGACAAGTGTTGGTTTCATTTACAGGCCCACACTTTGCACCAAACCTGTTTTAGGCCACATTCAAACAGCAACAGAATACGGTTGTCAGTCCTGTATTTGAGTCCTTAATAGGGTTACGTTCACACACAGTTCAGTTAGTAGGAGTGACAACCGCATTCTATAACCAAACAAAGTTTTCAGGATTCACAACCGCATTCTCGGAAAAACCTGTGCTGTGTGAACCGAACCGGACTGGACATATACAGTAGTTGTCTGTCACATCATACAGTGCGAGAGAGCCGCTCTGCGCTGCTCAAACACGTGTCTACCATGTGTCTGTAGCTTATAGCGACGGAGATATGAGCTGTGTGTCATCTGAAGGTTTTAGATCCAGTTACTGTCCACCACCGGGGAGGCTCCTGTCAGTTCTGTGTGCTACATATGACTCAATTGCTAAAAGCTGCTGACGGTTAATGAAGATTTGATGAATGAACTCGTGGCTCGATTGGACTCTTGTCATGTCAAAGGTGATAATACTTTTCAGTTTTAAGGACGTCGCCATCTTTGATATTACTTTGGTCACTGTCGCTATGGTAACTGGTAAGAGAATACGGGCTTGACTCCAGTTGCACGGTCATACAGAAAGCTGCTGCTGTAAGTTGCTGTGTGAATGGGACATTTTGAGACTCACATCTGTAAGTAAATACGTTTGTCAATCCCAAAAACTGACAGTGTGAACGTAGCCTTAAACTCACCGTATTCCTCCTGGCATGATCACAAACATGCAGTTATCACTCCACATAGAAAAGACCACCACCCCCTGTTAAACACCCAACACCACATGACCATCCACCTGATTAGCATAAAACCCATCAAACCCAGATCAAAATCACACACTCATCCACATCCCACCACATCTGGAGGACCTGAAATAACGTCAGACTTTCAGGATTAAGTTTCTATTTGGTTTTGTTATGGAAAGTAATTAATATCAAATAATGAAAGTTAAGAATATATATGTAGGACTTTCCAATAAACATTTTCTGCCAAATGTTTATTGGCCTCTCCTGGAAGATGGAGTAAAATTTGTCAGGAAACACTACTGTACCAGTGATGTCTAGCTATTAAAAAGGAATAGTTCACCCAAAGATGAAAACTATGTATAATTTTCTGTCCTCTGTGAAATGCAAAATAAAAATGATGTTATGGTGAATGTTTGAGTTTATATTCTTAAAAAAAATTACATGATTTTGCTTTTATGACATTTTTTGTAATTTGAGGGAGCTTTGTAGTATAAATCATCATCCACTTTCATTCTTTGGACAACAAAAGCTCTTGGATTCTAACCTGACATCCATTTTTCGGTTTCACGGTAAAAGAAAGGAAGTCATGTGTTTGGAACAACATAAAGGGTGAGGACAGTACTTTTATTTCTGGGTGAATTACTCCTTTAAAGCCTCAGACATTGGGGTAATTGTTCAGCAAGTATCTAACAGCAGTCAGGGACTTCATTTTTCTTCAATTTTACACATTATATACAAATGAGGGTGATGCTTCTAGCTGAGCATACACTACCTTTCAGAAGTTTGGGATTTTTAAAATAAATTAATACTTTTATTGAGCAAGGATGCATTAAATTGATATTGCTACAAAATGATTTGATCTCAAATAAAAAAATAAATGTTTTTTAAAACATTCTTTTTTGTTCATCAAATAATCCTGAAGAAAAAAAAAATATTACAAAAATATTAAGCAGCACAACTGTTTTCAACATTGATAACGTCTAGGTTACTAATGTAACATCCATTCCCTGAAGGAGGGAATGGAGACGTTACGTTAGAACAACTGACGAATTGGGGATCTCGCCTGTGAGCCCAATCACCTTCGAGCGTAAACAAAACAAACCAATGGACATTGGTGAGTGAGATTTGCATCACAAACCACATCCCGCGAATCGGGTTTGAATAGAAGCGTTCTAAACTGAGCCATTCAAGTTTTGCGCTGAGGAGCCGAGGTGTCATGGCTATTTCAGTGGTGGTACAGCAATTGTGCCAACGGGACGTAACGTCTCTGTTCTCTCCTTCAGGGAACGGGGGGTACATCAGTAACCTAGCTGTTCCCAGACGTTACGTCCGGACAACTGATGAATTGGGATTCCTACTAAAACGCTGCAATTGCTGCCACTTCCAGAGCCCCACATAAGCCACCTAATCCCCCCACACCTGCTGGGGCCGAGAAAGGACAGGGCTTTGACGCAGAGAGAGAGTTGACCACTGCTTTTCCCTCTTACCCACACAGTGAGACTATTTGGATAACACTGGGGAAGCATGCCTATTCCAAATTAAAAGGAACGCTATGGAGACAACATCCTGCCCATAGGGAGGTAACATGTGGAGTTACACATATGGACTGACCGTTAGGGAAGTGCTACATATGGGAAGGTCTCTGTGGTAGATCCAGCCTGGCTAGGGTGAAGTCAATACCGGGCAGAGATGGCAGGGCGGGCTCAGCCAAGGGAAAGACACCGGCTTGCCGACAGGGAAGCGGTAGTGTGGAAGAATACACATGTGGGTTCACCCGGAGGGGAATCAATACACATGGGCACCTAGTCTAGCACAGGGTCCACCTTCTGGGCATACACGCACAAACGCTTTCTCAGCATTCTTATGCCCAGCCATGCGAGGCAGCGATTGCGGCCATCAGATGAGGACAGGAAACGACCACATCCAGAAACGCATGGATGGAGAGCAGTCTTCTAAAAGGCGCTCGCCCTCCGCTTGCTCTTTTAGGGAAAAAGCTTAGTGCTGAAGCACACAGGGACGGCAAGGCGTGCAAGACCCACTTCAAGCAGTCTGCACTGCAATCCCCAATTCGTCAATCGTTCTGACTTAACGTCGAACGTGACTGACTGATAGGGAACTACTGATACTTATAAAACTGATTACTGTTTTTACTGTATTTTTGATTTTAAAAAATAGAGCCTAAGAGACTCATTTCATAATCTTACTGACCCCACATGTTTAACCATAATGTTTAAACTAAACATCTGCTTCTTTTCGGATGATTTTACCAAGCTGAGGCATTGAGAGAGACTCATAAACACACTCTGAAAGTACAGGACACAGTGATTCTTAGAGAAATCAAGGTTTAGTGGTAACATGTAAACGTTTCAATACAGACTTATCATGAGCTCTGAAGTAAAGTGATTAATTGTGATTCTTCAGAAGCCATAAGTCAGTCAAATTCATTTTTAAATTAAGTAACTGTCACCATGGGAACTGTGGCTAATGAGTATGAGCAGCGGCATCACACTCCCATGGAGAATGATGCAACTGAATAAGTTTCCAAACTCAAACTTACAATATCTGAATATTTTTTAATAAATTAAATATATTTCTATTTTAATATACATTGGAAGTCTATTTTTAATTATGCTCATTAAGCTTGCATTTATTTGATCAAAAATATAATAAAAGACAAAAATATATATAATTTAAAGTGTAATTTATTCTTGTGATGGTAAAGCTGAATTTTCAGCATCATTGCTACAATCTTCAGTGTCACATGATCATTCAGAAATAATTCTAATATGCTGATTTTCTGCTCAAGAAACAATTCTTATTACTGTCAATGTTGAAAAATGTTGGAAATTGTGATAAAGTTTCAGGATTCTTGATGAATAGAAAGAATGAATTTCTTTCAAAAAACTCACCTCAAAATTTTGAACAGTAGTGTACATATGGAAAGGGAATGGGAAAAATACTTCCAATAGAAAGGCTGCTAAGAATCTGATTAAATGTGAAAGTGGAAGAAGACTGAGCCAGATCTCTCTATAGGAGTAAAATCCTCTCATGACTGCTCTTGAAGATCCACTAAAACACACCTTCACACAGTGAGAACTGGTTTCAGAAGCCCAAAACATTCATTTAAAGACTTAAAAGATGAAAACAGTAAAATTAGGATTAATTTTTTATGTGGCCCTTGCCAATGAAAGAAATTGGTCAATTCTGGTCTCCTGAAATGCCTGAAACTAAATGATTGTTTTGCCTTTTCTTTTCTTTGCTTGTCAGATTACATGTGATCTTTAGTAAAAGCAGTCAGTACAAAATCAACTGTCTTTCATGTCAGACTGTACGATACACACGTTAGCTAAGTCAAGACTATCAGCACTGACTGGCCATTTTACTCCATCAATCCATGTCACATCCACTTGCACAAAGCCAAAAAAAAGCATTTGTGAAAAGGGGGAATTTGTGGACTGTGAATTTGAGTTAATTTCAATATGATCATAATATGATGGGAATGTTAAATAACAAGACTTCTGATTTAGTCTCTTGAATTTGTCTTAGACAGCAATAATTGTACAGTGTGCATGCAGCGTTAGACAAAGTAGAGTCTTTATTCGGCTCAGCAACAACTCCTGGCAAAGTATAAAGTCCTTAGTTTTGTCCTGACTCGTTCCCTGTAAGGCTTTGCATACATACATTCCCACATTTAGCAGTGGACAGGCTGATGATGGCCTGAAGCTAGAATAGCTGAAGACCATAGGGACATTTGGTATTAAAGCAGCTTTGGGAGGCACACAGTGACCTTGGAGTCATCCGGACTAAGTCCAGTGAATAACATATAACCCATGAGCAAGAGCCTTACTCAGCTGATGAGGGAGAGCAAAAGATTTTCAAATGACAAAAAGTTTTAACCTCATTTAGAATGTTAAATCATTCACAGACACAGACCTTGTGGAACATGTCAGTTAAATGAAAATGTCATATGAACCAGAAAATGGAAGTTTGACATGACAAACTTTGAGTTTTATTCTCTGGTTAGAGGTTTTGAAAAACAATATAAGAAAATGTTAACTTGACAAGTCAATACAATTATACGCACTGTTCATAAGTTTGGGAACACTTAGGAAATTCTTATTCAGTTAGGATGCATTCAATTTATCAAGAGTGATAGTAAAAACATTTATAATGTTATTATGTTTCTATTTCAAATAAATGCTATTCTTTTGATATTTCTATTCATCAAAGAATTCTGTTTTCAACATTCAATTGTTTTCAATAAGAAATGTTTCTTGAAGCACTAAATCAGCATATTATAATGATTTCTGAAGGATCATGTGACTGTCACGGATGGAACAGGAGTCAGACAGGTGGTAAGTGAAATAGTGTTTATTACAGGATTGCAGAAGCAGACGGAGATATGGTGAGTATTCAAACAGTTGTTAATCAGATGGGAACTTAGCTGCAGGTTAATTAGAGTCTCTGTTACAGATGCAGATGGAGAGTCACATGGAAGGGTTGAAGACGGATGGCTGAAGACTGAAGGCATACGATGGCAAGGGTGATGAAGATGGTCCAATGGATATCAGGTAGATATCAGGTAAGTAGTAGGTTGATAGCATGGGTGAGTCTGTGTGTCATGTAGAGACGAGACCAGACAATGAGTGTGTGAAGGGGTGTCGAATATAAAGGGAGGTGAACTGATGAGGTGATGGTGATTAGAACTCTGGAGACAGTGAACGAGTGGGAGGAGTGAGTGAAGCTGGTGGAAACCTGACAGTGACACTGAAGACTAGAGAAAAATTCAGCTGGAAATTCAACTTTGCCATCATAGGAATAACTTATGTTTTATAATGTTTTAAAATACAAAAAAAACAGTCATTTTAATTCCGATAATATTTAAATTTTTAGATGTATTTTTGATCAAATAAATTAATTCATTTAATACATTTTTGTTGTCATATTTATTAGATTTTTTAAATATTTACATTTAGCTTATTTTAGTTTTAGTAATTTTAGTCCTTCAGTTAGTTAAACGTTATTTTAGTTAGATTCCAAGGCAACATTTTAAAGTTTTCTAATCTAATTTTATTTAAAGGTACACTGTGTGACTTTTTTTAGTTAAAATAACAACACTAAAAAGAATCTTCTTTCATAAATATAATAAAAATCATACTGATCACAAACTTTTGAACAGTAGCATATACGTTGTATTGAAATTAATCTGGACATCAACTCTCAAAGTATAAAGGTGTGTTAAATATAATTATAAAAGAGCAGTTAGGTGTTAATCCCATAGAATAGTCTGTATCAAAACAACCTGATAGACGACACACACACGTCAAACCATGCATCTTACATGAGAAACACTTGAGAACAGCTCTGGGTTTCGACATCACACACGTAGAAACCTTCTTACAAAGGCTATGAGGGACTGAGAGACACAAAACCAACATGGTCAATGGAAGAGAATAATCGCTGTGGTTCTTTGTTAACTTCAATAAGCCCACACTCACTACTCCAAACTGAAGACAACTACAAAGAAACTGCAGTGGTGGCCCGTCAGAAGAGGTAAGAGAGACTGAGCCTCTTGTATAATTTAGTCTACAAGACCTGTTGTGTTGAGCACCAGCAGGCCTGTTGATGCACTACAGCAAGACTGAGAGCTGCTTTAAGTTTGTGTTAACGTCAGAACACAAATGATTCTATTATTCTCCTCTGACTCACCCATCCCTTTGGAGTGGTTGAAGTCTCCTTTGATGATCCTGCAGGATTTGCCATCACCATTGCAGATGCCACACCGATCTTCTTTCGCAGATGAACCGATGATGCCATCACAGCCGATTTTCTGAAGGAGGCAGAGTAAAAAGAAAAAAAACTACTTCTATTATTCATGAGTTACAGAAATGTAAATTACTGATTCATGAATGGACTCATGTCTTTATCTTGTTAAGATTTATCTCATTAGGGACCTATTATGCTTTTTTACATTTTCAACTTCCTTTAGTATGTAATGTTGCTGTTTGAGCATTAAAAAGGTCTGGGAAGTTACAAAGCACAAAGTCACACCCAAAGGAAATTATTCTCTATATCAGCAAGCACTGTTTTTGAACTCCCTGAAACGCCTCCATTGTGGTCTCGAGTTTTCTTCCGGGAATGAACACGAGGCTTGGTTGAGTTCTGTTAGAAGTGTGTTGAAACTTGCAGTTATGGTAAGGGCCGTGACATTTCTGAAACAAGATCAAAACGGTTGACTGACGTGGTCACTATCAAGTGTCATTGTATGAAAAGAAGCTGTGTAAAGATTCTTTAAAAAACTGTGCTCTACAAGAAAGAAAACAGTATGTAAAGGGTCGAAATATCTTTCAGTTTATTTCTCCATTCAGTAAATCCATCCATTGGGCTAAAAGAACATGCAAAGGCTAGTGTTGATAACACATCAGTGTTGAGCCACAATATACTGATTATATGATTTCTTTGGCACAACATCAAGTCACATAAAGTATAATTGCTCAAAAGGTTGGATATCTTCAAACACAACAAAATCATGCCTGAAAATAAAGCACTGACATATCATGTAAATCTTTAACGAATAATTTCAAAAACCTAAAGTACTTTCCTGCTGAAAATATTAGTACATTTTGTTGTAAAACTGCTGTATTATCTGGATGCACAGGGAATCATTCTCCATTTCACCTCAGGAATGACACAGTGTGCAAACAGAGAGAACCGTTCTGATTGGTAGTATATGATCGAATGTGTCATGTCACACACCCCATTTTTAGCACGAACAAACTGGAATCTTGTCTGGTTAAGATGCACTATAAATCAGTATACACCAGAAAAAACAATGAGAAACTTTTGGCAACAATCAGAAATTAAGGTATAACATTAAATGCACTAAAAGAATAGTTTCGTTTTGATTTTGTGTGTAAATAATGTCCTGCTTTCATGAAATCCAGGTAATCTCTGTCAGTGATTTTGTTCTAAATAGGCTTGCTTAAAAGTCTGAACGAAGTAGAATCAAATAAACAAACAGGAAAAGGTCACTAAAATCGTATTTTCACTGGAGGATTCTGGCGCTGATCATCCGTTCACTCCCTCTAGATGACACAAGAGCTGCATTCAGACCGTGAATATGAGTGCTATCCCCAAAACAGCAATTCTGGGATTGTGGTCAGCAAAAGCCAGGCCAGGAACTGACCCTGAATCTGCTCGGGCCAAGCATTGTTTATATTATAGCATGAAGGGATGTAGTCAATGTTCAGGCCTGATGAATCCCTTCGCTCAATTACAGTAACCACACGTGTGTGTGTGTGTGTGTGTGTGTGTGTGTGTGTGTGTGTGTGTGTGTGTGTGTGTGTGTGTGTGTGTGTGTGTGTGTGTGTGTGTGTGTGTGTGTGTGTGTGTGTGTGTGTGTGTGTGTGTGTGTGTTAAAGTGCACACAGTAAAATCACTTCCAGACACTTTGACCTGTTTTTTTTCAGTCCTGCTTTCTATTAGTGGAGGCGGCTTCCAGACTGTGACCTCCTTTCAGTCTTGTGCTCTTACTAGTGGCCATTGAGCAACAGTGTGGTTGACTGTAGAAACATCCAACACAACTAAGGTGTGTGACTAAACTTTGAGCACAAAAAAAGTATATACTTTTGAGTGTGTAGCAGAAGAGTAGGCAAGCTTTGGAACATACTACTTGGTATTAATTGTGTCTTTAAGGCCACATTTATATTACATGGTTCAAGTGACCCAATTCCGATTCTTTCCTCCCATGTGGCACAGATCGGATATGACCCACAAACGTGTAAGCAGGAAAAAAGCACATGGATTACATTATTCTCAGATCGGTTTCAGGCCTCATTCATATGTGGAAATAAATCTGATATTAATGCTATGTAAACTGACAGATTGGATATTTCCCTGTCAATGGGAGTCGTACATCATTGAAAAAAGCAACGATGGCAAATTATGTCAACTCAGGTGGACACCAACCGCGATCATGGTTGGAGATGACTTTCATGATTTTCAATGGCACAATGGAGGACGAAGACTCAACCCAATGTTTTGCTGACCTTTAACCCTCTGGGGTCTAAGGTGTTTTCGGGGTCCTTGAGATGTTTTGGCATGCTCTGACATTTGTGCTTTTTTCAGTTGCTTATAAACATATTAATGGCACAGGTGAAATTACACTCTATATAGCACACACAGGGCTACCATAATATGTTATCACAATGTATGTACATGTTTGTATTTTTGAGAGAATATTGTTTATGCGTGGTTATTGAAAAAACTAAAAAATAAAGTTTCTAATATAAGGCCACAAATAACATACTAAATATCTGTCCACAAGACTTTTGACTAGTGGATGTTGTCGCCTTGAGTTTTTGCTTCAAATTGATCTGAAAATCATTCTGCCTAATCATTCACATAAAACAATAGATTGTTTTAAATTGTGAAAAACATTTTTTTGTTTGCAAAGGCAATATGCGGATGGGCGGAACGGCCCAACCCCCTCATGAATAATTAGGCAGTTCTCACCTGAGCAGACTGCATACTAATGAGCCTTTCATTCAGGGATGTCACACAAGAAAGAATGCAAGGACAATATATATATAAATAAATAAATATTTATACACACACACACACACACACACACACATATATATATATATATATATATACAAACAATCAAAATATAAATGAAAGCCAAAAGCACATTTTTAGTCACACCTTTTAGCCATCCACCGCGGTAAAAATAAACCAGTCGCATTTCAAAGTCGTACGCGAAATGACCGCCAGGTGGCGCAAAGGGACATTTAGCAAAACGTAAGTGGGGCTAATGTCTATTAACAGTAGCCTATAAGGATGAAATACTACAAGTTATGGTAATTTCCAAATAAGCCTACAACAAATTGTTGGTATAATCTATATAAGATATAATCTTTTAAAACTGTAAAAGGCTAAACACTCACAGGCTAAAGTCAAGACAAAACGTTTTCTCGCTCATGTGAGAAACAGACGTTTAGGTATTTCTCAGTGAGAAAATTCATAGCAGAGCGGTAGAACTTACGGTTCATCACCAAGATGACACGGGTTCAAATCCCGCACAAACATGGTCTTCTGTAAATTTTATATTTATTTAGATTTGTCTAGCTCTAAAACTCTGTTACACCATACAGTTTTTTTGCTTATATTTATAAAATACAATTATCATGCATTTCCATTTTAGACTAAGGAACAAAATAGTATCCAACAGAACGACTTTGCATCTGTATAATAATAGGCTACCAATCGTAATTTAAAAAGCAGTTCTGTAAAAAAAAAAATTATATATAGGCTATATATATTTTTTTATTTGATTCCAGGCTCTCACGCCACACCCCCGATTTCTCACGCTGAAGTGTCAACCCGGTCGGTCAAATTCCTGAAAGATATAGTTTATCTATAGATCTACCTGTTGAGCCACTCGTGATCGACTAGTTATACCGCAAATTAGTTCAAATATCCCGTAATCTATCTAGAGCGAGCGTGCATGCGAGACAGATATTGTGCTCCAAACCGTGCGCGCGCATGGCAGAGAGGTCTGTTCCCTACAACCTAGAGTTTTTAAAAACATGGTTTTAAGTAAAGTGTGATTTGCCAGGGGGGACTGGGATTTCCTTCTGGTCTAAACATCCCTGCTTCTGCTGAATTATTTTAATCCCCACACCCCTCCCTCCACAGTTAATCAATGCTATAGGCTACTTCACCAATATCAAATATATAAAATAGAAATATGCAATAGGCACGTTTAAACGACAAACAATAAAATCAAAACCAGCGTTTCAGTTGTTCATTAGTTCCAGTGGCCTTAATGCATGCACGGCTTTTCAAAATTTCACAAAGCGTGTTGAGATTATTTTGAATGAAATATTGAAGTTTATAATTAAGTGTTTTGGCACACCACGCCGAGTGGCCCTATGCATTTTTCTAAAGTCGGGTTTTATTCTGGCATGGTGAGTTAGTGTTCGACAAACGCAGCGGAGCGTTCATTTAGATTAATTTATTTTTTCTCATTATTACAGCTAAAATAACTTAATAGGCGACTCCGTAATTTTTTGGTCATACAGATAAGAGTAGAGTAGCTTACATCGTTCAAAACTGTAAACTTGTATTCATTGGCTAACGACAAAAACAGTAGGCTATATCTGTCGTCTCTGTCTCCGGAAACTGCGCGTCACAAAAATGAACCGAAAGCCACTTCAGCTCAGTCACGATAAGAAACCGGCTATGTCTACAGCCTTTAAATGTCTAAATATTTAGGCTAATAAATTTTATCTGATTATGTAGGCTAATCCATATGAAAACGAGAGGTACAGAGGATCTAGGCTACTCAAACATGTAGGCCTAATGTAAGCGCTTCCCAACGAGAAAATGACAAGACAAGGGTGAAAATCTCGCTCTAATTAAATGTAGGCTAAATCGCCCTGAATTAAAATGTAAAAACAGATCAAATAATGTATTTGTCAAAATGTTGCGATATTGTTTCATTTAATTTCATAATTATTATATAAATGTTATTTAATTTAGCAGCATTACCACGAAGCACTGTGTTTCGATGTTTATTTGAATAATACAAAATAAAATAAAAACTTAATTCACAAATTACATGCCCGGTTGTAAGGATCCAAAGATCCCTGTAGACTTTAATATTGAGTTGAACATTTTGTTCATGACAACAAATTAACAAGCGTTTTTTCAGATTATATTTAGTTTTGCTTGGAAAAAGCTGGCCCAAACCAGTTTTATTTAATCAATTATTGAAATAATGAAATATTTAGTAATAAACTTTTATGAAAGAAATATCACTAGGCTACATGTAACTTAAATCATTTAATTCCTTCATCATCAACACTGTCTAGAATAGTGATTTAAGTGTGAATTGCGACTTCTCTTTGTGTTAAGTCAGCCTCAGACTCCGATAGCCTGTGGGGGGTTGGAGGGACAGTTGCTGGACAAAGGTGTTAATGTTCCTCTTTCATATGGAGAGTGTCGGATAGCCAGCCTGATGAGCAGGCAAAATTATTGTAAGGATAAATCTGTGTCCAAATGTAGTATACTAGGCCCCATATCTTATTAAATTATAAATATTGTAGTTTATTTATTGTAGCCTATTTAAAGTTTTTTTCACACAAAATTTCAATTGAAGTTATTGTAAGGTGAATTCAACAAGGCATGCTGTGTCTTTGAAGCAACAATTAAAGGCTAAATAATTTTTTCGTGATTTGTATGGCTGACACGCAGCGACATATACAGTATTATCAGCTGTATGATGTGTTTTTACCCTGAAATGTTTAATTTCGAGAGAGACGCGGCGCGCGCAGCGAGGGAGACTAAATAAACTTGTTAAAAAGAGATCCAGTGCGAGAGAGGCAAAGAGAAACGCATGTTTTTAATTTAATTATGTTTCTTTGGACAATTTTCGTTTTGTACTGTTTTAATTGTTTAATTTAGCTGTAATTTCTTTGGCAATACAAATTTAAAATGTCGCAAGAATAAGATTAGCCTAGTGTTTCTTATTTTGCATCGCAAAAGAAATAAACTCTAAACCCGATGCAACCCTGTTTTAAATTTAAAAAAACTGTCCCGACACTTTATTTAAACCTTGAAATGTTCGAACTTGGTTTCAAACTTAAGTAATTTTAGTGTTCTTTTACATTACACAATAATTTAGCAGACTAAAGACGAGCTTCTTCATTTTCATTTTCTGATGCAATCGGCTGACAATCTTCCTTCATCAGTTTTTGTCGTTTGTGCAGCGGCTGCGGTTCTACAGGAATGTAGCAAATTTATGTTGTAATGATAATTAAACAAAACTCTTGACTTTAAATAAGTAAACAGATATAAACAGTTACCTATTTAAGCATCAAGGTGGTAAAATATAAATGCTGTGTAGGCCAACATCGGTTAACAACATGTATGCTACAGTGAGATTCGATCTCGGGTCGATTGAAGCTCCTCGAAGCTCGTGTTGTCGCGTTGATCACTGAGCTACCGTCTGTACGCTGTTAAAATTGTAAAGCCTCATTGATGTAGCCTAAATGTTTTTATTGCAATGTTTTATGTTGAAATGTTTTCATTATTTATTCAATTACATTTCAGTAGCCTAATTTCAGTATTGTGATTATGAATTATTTTAGCTACGTTTCACTTGTTGAATTCATCTGCTACCAGCTTTCGATCGCTCTGAATCAGCGCGGTGCGGCAGCAGATTACGCATTAGGGAGAATAAACCGGAATAAACGAACACTTTTATGAGTGTAGCGCCTCTTAGCGGTAAAAGGCAGCAAATACACCACACATTTTACCGCCGCGGTGGAACGGCTGATGTGGGCATTGTCATGGCTTGCCTCACATTTGCGTTGGAAAAGCGCGCGTCCTCCGTGGGCGTGTCAGATTAACGCGTAATGTAGTGTAATGAGCTGGGGAAAAAAATACTGACAGTACTCTCTTTTCATACAGATTGCATAAACTGAGAATATTTGTTTTTTATATAAATTACTTCATTTAAAAGAAGAGAATTCAAGCTTCATAAAGAAAAATCTCTCGTGCCTGTGTGACAAGTAATCGCGGAGTTACAGTTAATCTTAGGACGCGTTTCAGAATGGACTTCACTGACAGAGAGAACGCAGAACTCGCATCATGTTTGTTTTTCTTTATTTGGTGAAAAGCACAACACTTTGTTTTTATTGTGAGTATCCACAAAAAAAATAGAAACTTGACAGGATCTAATGATGTATAACACTTAAATGTAAGATCAAAATCAACTGAGTATTTTGAGTCTCTTTTGCACTGATAAGAAAAAAAGCGAGCAGATCACGCCGGCGTGATTGCCGACCCCAGAGGGTTAAAGGGCACCTATTATGCAAAATTCACTTTTACATGGTGTTTGAACAAAAATGTGTGTTGGCAGTGTGTGTACACAACCACCCTATAATGATAGAAATCCACCGAGTGCTTTTATTTTAATCCCCATAAATCATAAGCAGTGTCTCAGAACAAGCCGTTTTCAGATTCTGGGCGTAGATTTGCACAAGCCCCGCCGACGACTGTTGACGGACACTACCGTATTAGCATAGACCCGCCCCTGAATGAGAGTGAGCTGTACACAGTCCGCCATTTTTTCGACGCCGGAGCAGCTGTAGACAAGAATGTCTTCTAAGCAATTGAGGTGTTTTGTTGTAAGATGTAAGAATGAACATAGCAGTCGTCATTTACTCTCGTTGTTACTCGAGGATGGATCTGTACCAACTGTTCCTGATCCAGCTTACAGTCTCCAGTGCGATAGGCCTAACGTTACTGGTCACGGCAGAAATGAAAGGGAAAGCGCGCACTTTATTACAGTTCATAGAGTTTTTTTACTGATATAAAGTTGACCAGTTTATTAATCACCTGAAAAGGTGTGTATATATTTGTTTACTTTTAGTTGTAACAAGTGTTTTGTGTAATTCGCTGTGTTTGTTGATGATAATGAAAGAGAGAGAGAGAGTTAATGGATAAGACTTTAATGCGCACTTCTTATACTTTTACTTCATCTTTTGTGTGATGTACAATAAACTTCATTAAACTCATAAGTATATTTTTGGCCATCATTCGGACGGGATGGCTTGTATTAATAGTGGATAAAAGCAGATGACAAATAAGTTATAATAACCGTAATTAAACTAAACTATACCTGTTCTATCTCCATACAGCATATATTCTCTGACTCTGTAGGCATTTTTGTCTGACTCCGGGTTGAAATGAACACCGCTACTGAGAGTTTCTGTTTTGATATTATCATTCCGTGAGATGAGATTGTCCTGACACTGAGCGTGAGCTCTTGAAGCTCCGCCTTCTGTGCCGGCAGCAGCAGCTCATTTGCATTTAAAGGGATACACACTAAAACGTTGCATAACTACGTGCATCCTGTCACCATTTAAACTGTCCTGTCAAATATCTTGTCACAGTTAAAATCCTCCACATTCAATTTCATTTCATTTGCAACCATATCGGAGAGAAATGTAGTAGCACGTTGATCTGCCAGTCGTGGGTCTTTCATGCGGAGAACTCTCCTCATGTGTTTGCATAAAGATGCACTTAAAAGTAAAAATGCTGTTGCAATAATGTGGATAACATTGAATAAATATAATTTCGTATATAATAAAAGGTTATACTGATTATTAATCACTTAAACCCCTTTATCTAAACCTCTCTACTAACCGTCAGTCTCGGACATCTGCCATGTTTGTAGTTTTTTAACAACTTTTATTCGCGTTTGTAGTTCTAATCAAATTCTTGTACAGCACGCAATGGGTTGTGGGCAATATTAGCTGTTACACCGTGTCTACACTGGACGCAACAGTTGAGACAGCTTGAGGCTGTCTACACTGGATGCAAAAAAGCGACTGTTACAAATCTATTTGTTCTTTGTGTTAGAAGTAGCGCGAGTCCCTTGTAATACGTCAGAAATAAAGCGGGGCATCAGTTTACTGTTGGGAATTTGGCGCGCCGCATCCAGTGTAGACAGCGTCACTGATTATAATGGGTTCTATCTGCTTTTGTTGTGTCTTTTCATGTCACGCCACTCGCGTCTGATGTAGACACGGTGTTAGAATGTGCATGATCTGCACTTCAGATTCTAACTGGAAAAAGTAGACCATCCAGGGAAACTTTGGAATACTCATTTCAACATACTACGATTTGGGACTAATTCTAATTTCAAATACTATTTGGGGAGGATAGTATGCAAATTAGGATGCAGTAGTACATAACAGAGTCAAGTTGCGAACTGGGTAGGTACACCAAAGACTTGGTGCTAAACAGGCTAAAAGTATAGTTGAAAAATACAAATATTTAAGTTTTTTTAATGGCCTTAAAATCAGAGATTCTAATTTGAGACGTTTAAGACTTTTTAAGGACCCAGGGGAACCCTGTCAATTCGATTTTTTAAGTAATTAATACTTTCATTAAAAAAGAAAACATTAAAATTATGTTAAATGAAAAGTTATAAAGACATTTATAATGTTTCAAAAGATTTATATTTCAAATTAATTTTCTTTTGAACTTTCTACTCATCATAAAATCCTGGAAAAAATGTATCACGGTTTCCACAAAAATATGGAAACCTTGACACAAAAACTAATAATAGTAAGAAATGATTTTTTGAGAAGCAAATCATCATATCAGAATGATTTCCAAAGGATCATGTGACACTGAAGACTAGAATAATGATGCAGAAAATTCAGCTTTGCATCACAGGAATAAATCACATTTTAAAATCTATTAAAAGAGAAACTATGCATTTAATATTATAATATTATTTTGTGAATACACACCTGACATTTTCCGCTCACACACAGGTCGCTCTCATACGGTCCACATGGCGTCCCGTCCTGCACACGCTCTGCCACTAGTACTGGTGCATCACTGCCAATGGGTGTACAGTATAGAGCACATGGCTTTTCTGGGAAATAAAAGCATACACACACATAAATAAATGCAGTAAACTGAGCTTTGAAGCTAAAGGAGGCATAAGTTTTTATACTTTCAGCAAGAACACATTAAGTGCACTCATGGTATTATTTGGTGCACATGTTCTGAGGAGTCTACTTAAGAAGATCACAAGCCTGTTTCTGAGTGAAGTGTTGTGATTTAAGAGCTGCAGTGATCACAATGATCAAAGTTTGGAGAGCCTTTGTTTGTACCATTGTGAGAGAAAATAGAAAAAGCACTCTTGAGTGCAGCTGCTTTATTGCTTTTGAGAGATCTGTCTGTCTGTCTATCTATCCATCGATCTATATTGAATAGATAACTTTTATAGATAGAAAGAAAGAAAGAAAGAAAGAAAGAAAGAAAGAAAGAAAGAAAGAAAGAAAGAAAGAAAGAAAGAAAGAAAGAAAGAAAGAAAGAAAGAAAGAAAGAAAGAAAGAAAGAAAGAAAGAAAGAAAGAAAGAAAGAAAGAAAGAAAGAAAGAAAGAATCTGACATTTGGTGGACAGCTGTAACAATTCCAACATGGGACAGACAATTACACCAGTGCCTGATCAAGCATACCAAAACAAATATGGGTGAAGCATGTTTGCATAATTAAAAAATAGCATATACTGTATATTGCCTTGAACCAAGCTTAGGCTAATTAGTGTCATTAGTGACACAGGAAAAAATAAACATTCTGCCGGGATGACAGGACTGTTAGAATGATTAGGAGTGACAGGGAGAGCACTAAAACAACAAGAAGATTGGGTGAAAAGACTTTCAGAAATGAATTTGGATTCTAACAAGGCATAACATTCACCCTCTTGCTCATAAGCTGCCTGGTAATCAACAAGTGAACGTGTCCTTGACAAGAGCGCACAGTGTGAAATCACACAAGTGCTGTATTTAATCGAGATCAGACAGAGACTGGTCACTTTCTCAGTTCTCACTCTCACCTCCTGGTAATGAGGCCTCTACAAACAAACCAAAAATGGATATATGCTAAATGAATAAACGTAAATGTATTTAATTATATGTTTATGTATTTCTACCATAAAAAGAGGATAGTATAGTACAGAACAAAGAGATAAAGAGGCATGAGGCCAAGAGGATGTTTAAAAGAACATCTAGGCATTGTTGTGGTCTTAGACTTCAGGACTTTAGTGTTTATTGATTATAACTACACAGATAAATACTCTACTACAGGTATATTTTTAGTCTTACCATCATCGATCACAGCTGACCACATCTGGCTTTTCTTCTTACTGGCCTGCCGGTCATGAGACTGACACTGCTGATCTCTAAACGTGGGCAGACCCTTGGAACACGGCGGCCCCTCGCACACTTTATGCTCCACGCTGGCCTTCTGACAGTGCCTCCCTCCTGGACTGGGCCTGGAGAACCAGAACCACAAGAAATACAGTTATACATAGAATTCATGTTCTATGACCTAAACATGAATTCTAACCTAAAAGTACAAAATATGAAGATCATTATCAGAGCTGTGGGGCGATGACTGAGAAGAAGAGATGTGTGGAGAGGCAGTCACTCCATGACAGAGGTCAGTCAAAAAATGACTGAGGGAAGGTCTCCAAAATGTCTCTCATGTTAATGAGTTTGCCAGGCAGAACTGTACCGACATCTCTCAATCATTCTTGTTAGACTTTGTTTTAAAGCTTTAACCTGAATTAAACTTCTAGAACATTTACACTACCATTCAAAAGTTTGGGGTCAAAAATATCTTTGTGTTTTTGAAGGAAACTTAAGCTCACTAATGCTGCATTTATTTGATCAAAATAATAGTAAAACAGTAATATTGTGAAATATTTCTATTTGAATATATAATGTAATTTATTTCTGTTGTCAAAGCTGAATTTTTAGCATCATTACTCCAGTTTTCAGTGTCACATGATCCTTCAGAAATCATTCTATAATGCTGATTTGTTGCTCAAGAAACATTTCTTATTATTATGAATGATGTAACAAGTTTCCAAAAAAATATATGCCAAAACAGCAATTTGGATAATGGTTAACATAATAGAATAGCCTGCATGTTCAAAATTATGTTAGCAGAAAAGGACAGGTGTTTCTGAGGTGGAGCAAGTTATTATATTTTGATGAAAGATTACAAAAGAAATTTTTTTCTTTGAATAAGACCAGTAATATATATGATTTCATGTTATCAAGATTAAAGATTAAACATCACTCACTGAATAACACGGATACAGAGTTCAGCATTGCGCCACGTCCTGCGCCACGTTGTTCATATAGCAAATGCATTTGTGCCCATCTGTGCGCCCATGGGCGTGCTGGTCTGAAAACGAGGTGTGTTCAGGCGCATTGTTGGTGTGTTGCTATTTTGAGGCAACTGAAATAGACTGTCAATGGCGCGATATCTTTTTTGTTATTTAAAGAGCGCATTAGTAAAATGTGCACCTATAGGCGGGTCCACAACGCACGTGCACTTTGTCCCGTAGATGGTCTGCTCGAGCAGATCCGTTTCCTCGCTAGAGAAGAGTTCAGTTTATCTGCTTGCAAATTCCGCCATGTAAATAGCGAATCCGCCATGGCACAACGCAACTGGCTTTTAAAGGGAATGGGAGATGAGACTCTGATTGGTTTATTGCACGTTACACCCAAAACACACCCATTACTCATTGAGAGAATAGGGACAACCCTTTTAAACCATCGCCGACCATTTTTCCTGTCGTTAAACTAGCAAAAGTGGATTCGGACACACCCAGTGCTAGCCTGTGAAAACCCAGACAACTTCCGGCAAATTTAGATTTGCTCTGAAAGTTAGTCTGGCAAAGAGCTCATTCAAGCCCATTTCCAATCCGTCGAAATCGAGGCACCAATCAGAAACGTTGAGGCGGACTTTACACGATGACGACAGCGCTGGGATTTTGAAGCAGATTTTGTAGCCTACATTACAAGATGGATGCCGCCGTCGAACATCACTCGTTCGAATCAGCTATCGCATCTGTTTTAAGAGATTTGAACGTTTCCTTTTTGTTAAAAACTGAGCAAAGAACAACACTCGGAGTATTTCACAATGTTTCTCCGCCGCTCTGCATACGTCATCTCCTTCATCGCTCTGATTGGGTTTAGGTCTATCCACGACGTCCGTTGGTGACGCCCCTCTGGAAATGATTTGTCCATGACGCTTTGCCAGACCATAACTCAGTTACAACTGAGAATGGTCTGGTTTTAACCAGGTTAGCCCAGTGCACTTGTGCCCTGCGCTTTAGACCATGCGTTAAAAATCGTTAGATCATCCCTCCAGCCACAGTTACAGAGGTAGAAGCCCTCCACCAAAAACTGGACGACATTGAAAATCGGGAGCGAAGGAATAATTTACGGTTCATCGGGTTCCCAGAGGGCAGCAAGGACAGAGACACCATGTCATTCCTCATCAAAATTTTATGGGAGATCCTGAACCTCGCCTTCCCCGGAGGACTGGAAATCGATAGAGCGCACAGGATTGGAGGATTGCGCAAGAGCTCAGGTCCAGAACATCCCTCGCCAGCAAGACCCATCACCGCCAGATTTCTCAGATTCCAGGACTTGCTGCAGGCTATCCCAGTCCGAATTCCTTTGCACTATTTCAAATAATTTGATCAAATTTGTAATACATTTTTATGGAATAACAAAAGCCCCAGGATGAACCTGCGAAAGCAGCAAAGGCCAGTGGACAAAGGAGGATTAGGTGTGCCCAACTTGCTCTTTTACCATTATGCGTTCACCATTAGGCATATGGCACAGTGGTCTTTACCCCCGGAGAAAGCCCCCTCCTGGTTCCACCTCGAAAACACGGTGTCCTCCCCTCTCACACCCATAAAATACATCACTGCTAAATTAGCCCAACAGAATCAGTCACATCCCATTTTGTCCCACATTCAGTGGGTCTGGAAGAGAGTAGCTAAGATCTTTAAATTTGATCCGTATTTGCACCAGGCTGCCGGGATCTGGCAAAATCCCAAGCTCTGTATAAATAAATCTCCCTTCCTTTGGAAGCTCTGGTTGCAAAAAGGGATTAGGGTGCTCGGAGACTTGTACCATGATGGGACATTAAAATCTTTTGAGGCACTTAGACAGGAATTTGACTTACCACATAATCAACAATGGAAGTATTTTCAGTTAAGACACCTCCTGGTGCAGGTCTTTGGCTCCCCTTCATTAGTCCCACTGAGCGGTGGCATGTTGGAGAAGGTTCTAACAATTTATGGGCGCAGCCATGAAGCCTCTGCCTACTACGCTATGATCCTTACGGCCTCGGACTCTAATATATTGTCCCTTAAAATGACATGGGAAACTGACCTAAAGGTGTCATTCACAGATGCAGAATGGGGCAGAATTCTTAGAAATGGGGAAAAAAAATGTCAAGGGAACTGCGAACACGACTTATCCAATTCAAAATACTGAATAGAATCTATTGGACACCATCTAGGCTGCATAAGGTTGGTTTGGTTGATAACTCGGAATGCTGGAGGTGTCGGGACAAAAATGGTACCCTAGTACACATGCTCTGGAGTTGCCCAAAAATTCAGGCATTTTGGTCTTCCCTACATACAATCGTAGAGAAAATTGTCGACCAGAATATCCCGTTCACCCCTAGTCTTTTTATTTTGGGGGAGCCCTCTGCATGGACCCAGACTGTCCTCATGTTAGGCCGGAAATTTTTGGTCAAAGAATGGAAAGCCCCCTCTGCACCAGCACTGGATTTGTGACACGCCGCTCTGGGTCAGCTGGCTGCCCTTGAACAACCGTCCTATAGGTTGCTTGATAAAGTCTAGGAGTACAACTTGAAATGGGGGAAGTATCATTCGCACACCTTGGAGGTTTAATGGCGTTCCGGCTCATAAACATAGCATTTAACTAGCAAACATGACTGATGGATACATTTTGATAGAATACAGTACCTACATTTAGGCAAGGCTGTAACTCAAGGGCTAGGTACATCACTGTCTCTTTTTTTTTATTTTTATTTTTTATTTTTTTATAATTTTCTAAAATGTATTTATAGTTTAGTTTTCGTCCTATGTCTTCCTTTCATTCTATTTTTGTTGTATGTGTACTGCTTCATTTTTCAGATGGATATATGTGTGTGTTTAAATGTTCTGAAAAACCAATAAATTTTTAATCATAAAAAAAAAATCATTTGATCATCAAATGGTTAGACCAGATCGTTAAAATAGGGCCCATAATATGTACCAATAAGTATAATACCAAACAGAGATGATATAATATAATAATATTAATATATTAATTGCACACAACTCAAAACCTACAACCTAAACTTTCCTAAAACTTTAACACTATTCTTGCAAGAGCTAGCTGCTATTTCTTTCAGTAAATGCAAATCTAGTTTATTCCTCACAATCTTTCTTTCCCATTTTCTGCTACTTTAAAACAGAACGTGACTTGTACGTCAGCCTTATTTTTCTTCCTTTATGCTCTTCGGTTTGCTTGATGCAGCTCCAAGTGTTTTACGATCCAAGGTGGACAAATGCGCAAAAGAGCGATTACCTCACAAACACGGCACGAGACGTTACAAGCGTCCAAAACAAAAACGCTCGTCTTGCGTCTTGGACCATCGTTCACAAATTGCATGCTGTTCTACGCAGGAAATAACTGGAAAACTTTGAATTATTACATCATGTTTTAAACACACATATACGCACACAAAACTTTATAACAAGCTCTCTGGCAGGCTGTCAGGAATTGAGAAATGACACTCTGAGAGAAACAGCATCATTAGATGAAGGAGGAGAGTGAGAGGAAAGCTTGTTCCTGCAAAAACACAACCAGGATTATTGTGGTGCATTGTGGATTTGAAATGGTGAATGCGTTTGCACAGAGTCAAATCATCTCCTGACTGGAGCAAGATTAGGTTACAGCCTGTTTGTTAACAAGAGTTTTTCACGACTAGTTAGTTTTGTATAGTAAACAGCAACTACAATTATGTTGTAGTCAATATATGCTTTTTCCTGTGAGCTTTTTGTTTTTCTATGCATTTTTTTGTTTAGTTTTTTGCATAATAAAATAAAACCTCTAGCTGTAATACTTTGCTAAATTTGTCAGATAAACACCTCAACCATTTCAGTGTTTTTTTATCCCTCATATTTAAAATATTTGTAAAAAAAAAAAATCGAATAAAAAAATTTAACGGTTTATTCAAACTTGTAGGGTCAATAAAAACAAATATGCCCTCTGGACATAGAGTAACTTTTGGCCATTACTGTATATCTGAAAACATGGATGAAAATGGATACAAATCTGGATGACGAATGATGAGTTATTTACATCAGGTAAACACTGACCTGCTGACTACTTTCCTGCATGACTAGTCGACTAGTAAAAATGTGTAATCTTGCAAGCCCTAGAGAGAGAAAGAGAGTGATGTAAAGGCTTACGGGGGGTTGTCACATTTCCTCTGTCTGAAGCGCGCTCCTGTGCCACATGTTCGGCTGCACATGCTCCATGTGCTCCATGGACTCCAGTCTCCATCCACATGCTGCGGGATGGGTGTCTTACTGACACACTCACCGGCCCTGCACCACTGACACACACACACATGTTAATCCAGCTAAATGAGAACATACCAGAGATTCATATTGTTTATAAAAAAGTTAACTACAAGCAGTTCTGTGTTGATGCCTCACAAACATTACATACGGTTTGTTCTAAACTTCTAACCTCATTTAATAAACTAATGCAATGATGAATTTTACATGTTTCAATAAATACAAGATGAAAATCTCCCTTTGATTTACACTACTGTTTGAAAGTCTCTTATGCTCACCACGGTTTCATTTGTTTGATTAAAAATACAGTAAAACAGTAATATTGTGAAATATTATTACACTTTAAAATAACTCTAAAATAATTTAAAAATGTAATTTATTCCTGTAATGCAAAGCAGCATTTTTATTCCAGTCTTCAGTGTCACATGATTCTTCAATCATTATAATATGCTGATTTGACGCTAAAAAAAAAAATCTTATTATAATCAATGTTAAAGACTTTTTTGTGTGAAGCATGATACATTTTTTCAGGATTCTTTGATTAAATGAAAATTCAAAAGAACTCGCACACAATAATTTTTTTTATAAATGTCTTTACTGTGACTTTTGATCAATTTAATGCATCCTTGCTGAATAAATGTATTAATTATATATATTTTTTGTATTATTATTATTATTATTATTTTAAATCTTATTGACCCTAAACTTTTGAATGGTAGTGTACATTGATAGATGGCTGTTCAAAATCAATGTCAGCATCAATGCTGTTTGCATACTGGAATACAAATCGTCATCTATCTTACATTTATATGCTTTTTAACACCCTGTAAATTTCTCTCATTATAATAAATGAAACGGTATATACGTTTGTTTGTCGTATGTTTGTATATATTGTCGTATATATTGTTTATATTTGACATTTTTGACCTGCTATAAAGCTACTTCAGCCACTCTATTTCCCATTTGTCAAGATGTTTTTACCCATAGTATTGGCTGTTTTTCAGCTTTAAAGTAAATCATTTTAATAATGGCCATTTTAATAATATTAAAGATAAAAAGGTTACCTTGTCGGCTCCACATTCTGTGCCGTCCAGCGGTGGATCTAGTTTGGTCTTACATGACGTGTCTCCCTCCACCAAACACCAGAGACCCGCACACATCAAGTGCTGAAACAGACACAGTTTAGACTTGTGTAGACAGCACCATAACAGTTTTAAACACCTTTAATAAATTGATGGTCTTTTTTAATTTTTTTATAAAACTGCATCAAATGAAAACCAAATTAAATGCATCAAATGAAACAACATCATGTCACATGGAAATAAAAATTTCAGTTGAAAAATTATTAAAAAAAATTCCGATACAAAAATGTCTTTACTAAATGCTCCACAATTAACTGAAACATTAATTTTAATAAAAAAAACGCATATACCCGACAGAAAATATATTTTTTTATCTTTTCATTCTCAATAGACATAATCCCCTCCCGCCAGACATAATCAGAACAAAAGACTAGTCTGATGCTTAAATATTTGTTTAACTTATGTGTTACATACGTTATTATGCCACAATAATTATAATGCCAGATAAAATTAAATGTTGTTTAATATTGTGATCACATTACGAAGACCAGATGGCTTTATTTACAATTTAATAAAATGTTCCATATTTTATATCTTAATTTAGAATTTATATTTTATATAACTTTATAAATTAATTAATGAATGTGTTTTGTTTTTCCAATTTATACGTTTTAGTTTATTTTATAAAAAAATGTATTTATTTCATGTTTTTATGCAACGTGTAAATTAATGCCCGCACATGTCCTTTCCTCAAACAAAGAGACTTTATTACCCAACAGCCCTTAAGATGGATAGTATTTTTTATGTCAGTCTGACAACTTCGTATGTTTACTTCGGCCAGGCACGGTCCTTTACCTCAAGCACTCAATCACATTTTCCAATTTCCCAGTGAGAAACATTTTTAAAGGTGGCAGGACGGCCATTAAAGTGCCTTATTTATACTTTTTTATACTGTTTTTCTAAAACCTTTTTGTTTTAGATGTCTCTTTTATGCCAACTGCTCTTTGCTTTTCATAGACTGACTATTCATTATCTTAATGCATGTTTTATGTGATTCCACACAGTTAGATACAGTATTTGCTGTAAAACTTCACAGATGGTATACGTGGCATATAGATGGTATACAGTCATGATGCACAGGCAGCAAGTGAAAATGTTTAAAGCGATGATTTGAACGGTTACAGCTGATGATTACATGCTCAGGAAAGCAGGAACTGACTTTGAACGTATCAGATCAAGCCTGATACGCCAACACCTGCCATCCGCTCTGATATTTTCACTATGGCAATTTCTGAGCTGAAACTTCCAGCTGGAAATCTCCAGAGCTCTAAGAGGAGGCTTTGTGTGGAAAAACATGATTTATGATTATGTACGGAAACCCTTTTAAGTTATCACCTGCTGCAAATGTAGCCTGGATAATTTTCTATTTCCACTAGCTACATAGGGGAATGATCGCAGGGCCAAGCCAACAAAAAAAGTAACTGTAACGTGATTCTGTTACATAAATTATTTGCCAAAAGTGATGTCGGGCCTAGGAAAATTGACATTTAAAAATTTGTTAAAGATTTAAGCATATTGCACAGTTGCGCTTGGAGTAAACTGTTTCCTTTGTGATAACTAAATGAAATGTGCCAAATTGAGCGGACATCATTTTTGGCCAGGCTCTCATACAGAGAAATTATGAACAAAACCCAAAGAAATATTATTAACTGATGTTAACTATGTTGTAGTCAATGCATGCTTTTTCCTGTGAGCTTTTTGTTTTTAAATGCATTTTTGTATAATAAAATAAAACCTTCAACTGTAGGTTTCCTTTTTTGACAAATAATTTTATCAGATAAAATTACCTTAACCAAGTTTAGTGTTTTGTTCTTCCCTCATATTTAAAATATTTTAAAATATATATACACAATATTTTCCTCATATTTTGATGGTTTAATCAAAAAACAAATATCGCCTCCAGACATCACTTTTGGCCACTATTGTATATCTGGAAGCTTATTTTCACAACAGAATAAAAGTTTACATCTCACAATTCAAAAGTCAGAATTCTAAGATATGAACTTGCTATTGTGTGAAAAAAGTAACAAAAATTGTGAGATAAAGTCACAAAGTTTTCTATTTTTGGTTTTAGTGTCAAAAATGGAAAAAAAGATGTTAACTCCGAATTCAGCAAAAAATGTCAGAATTGCGTGATGTAAAGTCAATTATGAGTTTATAATGTGCAATTGCGAGATCTAACCTCGCAGTTGTGAGTAAAAATTGTCAGAATTGTGAGATAAAAGTTGCTATTAACTTTTCAATTTATTTTCTGTGGTGGAAAAAAGCTTTCATACATACATGTATATGAGGTTGTTTAGGTCAAAAAGATTTGGTTGCTTGCAATATCTACTGAGATTTTTTTCTACTGCCGATGTTTATTTGTGTGTATGTGCATGCATTATGTCAGTTTACGGTATGAACACATGTAGTACATGAGTGCAGTATGATATCAGTGCATTCCCAGGTGAAAGACACACCTCCATATCAGTGCAGAAAGTTGCGTTCGTTCCGAATAAAATCTGGCACTGTTCATCAGCGCTGTAGTGCATCCCGGGAAGTTTAGCTGGCAGACGGACGAGGTAGCGGTTACGTGGGTCAGTATGCAGCAAACAGGCACTGGCCTTTGATCTGGAAGACAGTACGTGTTAGAGAAATCAACAGGATGTACAAAACATCTTCACACACATCTGAAAAAATTGCAAGCTTTCCTATAAAAGAAATTAGGAATTGCTGTGCTTCTAATACTGGTTTTCCATTGCTAATTAATTTGTTTAAAGTAAAACCGTCCTTTCTCCAAGACCAATCTCTTTTCTTCCTATAACTGTAAAATTAGAAAAACACAGACAGCTGTAACACGGCAGATGTCTGCAAAACCAAAAGCAGTTCTCTTATTTAAAGAGGGCAAATGAGAAATATTTTGAAAGGGTTGACGTTGATGCCTTAAACCCTAATGAGCGCATACACTTCGGGATTTCCAACCACGTCTGCTTTCTGTAAATATTTAATACTTCAGCTCATCCTAAAATAATCAGGAAGGCAAGGCCTGTTTGAGAGACCTGGAGTAGTGCAATTATACTTTATGTTATGTAAAATATGTAAAATGTGAATAAATTGACTAAAATATTCAAAAGAAAATTGTCAAAGCAATTTTGAATTTATGTGAATAAAAATAAAATTGAAAGAGAGTAAACAAAAGTCGGCAAACTGCCACTGCTGCTTCCAAGGAATCAATTTATTGGACTGTACAACGTTTCGACCCGAAGGTCTTCGTCAGGCAGAGACAAATGGATTGGGAAAAGCCTAAGTCTGCAAGGTTTTTTTAGCAATCTGCCTGGAATTACTAAAAGGCAGAGCTCAAGTCTATGAAGAGCCTCCTCACATAAGTCCCTTGATTTTCCATGTGACTCAGTGCAGTATGAAGAGCAGTAACGAAAGCATCTTCTTTAGACCTATTTGCTGTGTAAGCAAACTGGAATGGATCAAAGGTAGGTTGAAGACTGGCTTTGATATGTTGTAGGACCAGCTTCTCAAAGGGCTGTTTCTATTTTTTCCCCTATTTCAATGTATTTTATTTGTATGTTCATTGTAAAGCGCTTTGAGACGCAACTTTTAAAGGCGCTATATAAAATAAAGTTTATTATTATAAAACATTTCATAATGACCAGTGTAAGTGCGACTGGGCGATTATCGTTGAAGCTACTGATGACACTGATGTAGCATATCTAGTGTGATGTTCAAATTTCGGGAGAACAGCCTTTAGGTCTGTTTGATTAAAATCACCAGCTATGATATGGGCAGCTTCAGGGTAGTTGCTTTGTTGTGAAATTATAGCATTGAGCAGGTAGACTGGCTATGCAAGAATTAGCATCTGGTGGAATCTAAACAGCTTTAACTATAACAATGGTAAGTTCGCATGGAAGATAGATCAGTCTGCATTTAACCATCAGATACTCCAAATCTGGAGAACAATGTCTGCCTATAAATTTTGCATCAGTCAAGTTGTTAAGTATGTAAATGCATAATCCCTCCTCCTTCTTACCGGAGTCTTCTGGGATATGTGGGTGAAGCCACGTCTCAGTTAATATCAAAATACAACAGTCCTTTATGAGTTTATTCACATAGATCTGTAGATTAAATTCGTCCATTTTGTTGTTGATAGATATGGCATTAGAAAGAAAAATGCTGGGCAGCGGTGGTTTGTGCGGTTGTCTCCTTAGTCTCGACAAACCGCATCCGTGCTTTTGCTTCCTATGTTTCCTTCGCCTCCGATGCCTGCCGGAGCCGACAACAATCCACGGATAGCCTGATGTCCTGGCTATCTCCTCCGGTATATTATGTGAGTCCACAAATTCACTTGTTGTAGTCTGCTCCAATTGTAGTCCTATGATCAAAAGATCTTGACGGCTGTACGTAAGATTTTCACAACTAAATGTGACACTAACAATCAAACATACAAACAAAAACACGCATAAAGGGAAGTCGTGAAGCCGCTGCGTGCGTAGCTGTGGGGCCTGGTCCGTTACACCCCTAATCTAAACTAAACTAAATTTAACTAAACAAGTAAAGTTCAATTAAATTCACATTTAATTGTATAGTGCTTTTCACCGCTTCAAAGCAGCTTTACAGAAAATGCATGCGTCTACATTTCAATTAAGAGTGATCTGTGATCAGAAGTGACTGTGTATAAGTTATGTATTTCAGAAATGTACATATACAAATCACGCATGCAGTTAGCTAACAATGTATTAATTTAAGGTGGAAAACAATGAGCTCATTGAAGTAATGAATAAATGTTGTTAACAAATGATTAGGATATATAGAAAATTTAGCATTGGTGCATGTTGATAAACTAAAACCATGGAAATTAATTTCCATGTGTGTAACATCATGCTACACATTAAAGCAAGAAGCAACAGGCATGCGTGAGTTTGGAGAGCCATGTTGTCAAGTTATCGTATAGTGAGGAGCTTTACTCTACAGGAAGAAACACTAATCTGGTTGATTGTCTCTGGCATTAAAATACTCTCAGAAGCTCAACAGCACAGTTTGGATAACGTTGGTATCTGCTTGGATACAGTGACACTTTGTAGTTTGAATTGAGGTCAGAAGTGCTCCGGGCACAGCAGACAGTGAATACTGCCGCTTTATTCTGTCATCGGCTGCAGTACATCCGTGAGGATCGATGACTCCAGTCGGTTCTTTGTTTATAGAGCCGGGCATACACTATTAAGCCTTGGCTTCCAGAATGAACTCTATTCAAACGCTTGACTGTTTGTTCATCTTCCTCAAGGATAATTTTGCCAGAAAATTAATGTGGGAGACTGAATCTAGTCTGTTTAGTGGAACTTATTTTACTAGCAAGTAGTTTGGAAATGAATTTACTAATTATAAATATATTATTAATACTACAAATATTAATGTATATTACACATACTATTTATTAATATAAATATAATTATTATAATTTTTAGAATTAGTCTTTTTAAAGGTGCTAAATGTAACTTTTCTTCTAAAATGAATCCTTTTTTTATAGCCTGTGTGTGAAGGGGTTGTAATCACACATTACAATGATCCACTTGTCGGGTTTTGCTATTACCTCTGAAGGCCAGTATTCCTATTTCTATGTGAAGTCTCCGGGTCGGATTTTCTGCGAAATCCATCGTATGTGACGTGCATGCGCGCTCCCGAGCCTCTCTCCTTTTTATATACAGTCTATGCGACGGCACTGCAGCTGACGACATGGAGTCTGATAACACCCAAAAACGACCTGCCTCCAGCACAACACACACTCCAAAACAAACTCCACATAAATATTAACAAAAAAAAAAAATGTATCTGCTGAAGCTCGTCGGGCCAAACGTGAATCGGATCGACTTAGGACGAAAACACGGATCAACATCGGCAGAGCGTTTGAATTATGGAGAGATTTTTATTGTGATAAATTACAAGTTTTCAGATATGCTGAAATAATGGTAAACTGTAATGAAATAGCAAGGCAAACTACAACATATATGAGACATGAAATGAATACAAAAGACTGTTCCAGGATAACAAAAAGTAGGTGCTTTAGGATGTAACTTTTATTTTATGTACTAGATCTACTGTCTAACGTCACTCATCCCACTACTATCATATTGTTTATAATACACATTTCCAGACACGTTCAGTACAGTAATGTTACTTCCTACGATCTTACTATTACACTGAAATTGTTCAGTCTAGTTCACTAACCGTTTTCGTTATCATATTATACATTCACCTATGTTGACATTGCTGATTGTGAAAGATTAGTTAGTGAAATGCCTTATGCTATAACCCCACATGTCGGCTAAATGCATTATCATGGTACGAGCATGGAGCATTAGTTCAACGTCAAGCTGATAAAAGTAGCCTATTATTGTAACCATGCAGTGGGAGTTTACATGAGTTTCTAGCATGTTGTGTGATGCTTTCTCCGGTGTGTTGAAAGTCTCAGTGTGGCCATGTACCATGAGTGCTCGCTCTTGTGTTCGAGCACGCGCAAGAGCACGAGTGCTCTTGTAAAAATTGGTTGCAATCTGAAACATCACCGATAGAGGCCGCTAAAAAATACATATAGCACCTTTAAAATAAATAATTACTGTAAAATAATTAATCTCATTTGTACACAGTTCGTTCATGTGCACATAAAAGTTTTTCTGTATATGCAGAAATCTCAATGGTTTTTTTTCTGAAAATGACACTTTTTAAAGGCACCGTAGTTTAATTACATGCATTCATCTTATCTGCTAAAATTAATTAATTGTTCTAAATTAAATATAATTATAGCAATATTGCTAAAAATACATTATAAATTATTACAGCAATGTTGTTAAAGTTTAATTATATAATTAGTATAACACGTGCCAATTTATAAACCATTCCACTGTCTAGTTATCAGTATCACCCATTACAAAAACTCCATATTGGTTGATCACTACTAATAATACCTAAAAACAGAGGCTAGTTTGAGGATTTTATATTTTATAGAACTCACCTGAGGAACTTTTCCAGGTCGTCACGACTGCAGGTGGACCAGGAGAGATCACTGGGGTTACGACCTTTGACCCATTCCCCAGACATGATGTGAGAGTGGCCTGTGCAGCTGGCGTGATCGTCGTCATGGCTCATGCCCATGCTAAAGAGAGAAGACAAGCAAAAACACGAAACACTAATAAGAAACAGCAGTGATATTCACAAAAATATGAGTCTCACCCAGGCAAACTTAGTGCACAATAAATACTTATTATTTATGCTTGTTAAACATAAGCTTCCTTTGAATGCATAACATTGCAATATTACTCTAAAATAGAGCATGTGTGCTCACGAAAGCCAAAGCAACTCGAGTCATAAGAGTACTTTCTCTTAAGCCCTGACCTACATTTCCCAAATTAAAAACAACAACCAAAAACTGAAGCAGCAGCAGTGAGCCCAGGAACTAATAAAGAGAGCAGTGTGGATTTCCAGGCTGCGTCTCGACTCCCGCTAAAGACCAAAGCAATAAAAGTCAAAAGACACACACAGAACACAATAGAAATCAAGGAGTAGCCGTGGAGAACTAAATGAACAAGGAGAAGAATGTAAATGCTACAGCGGTTTCATCGCCACGTTATGTCAAGCTTTAACATAGATGTGCACCTTTTAATGTCAATGGGGTGATATGGTCAGTAAGTGGACTGAGATGAGAATCTCACACTAAAACAATCGTGTGAGGTTTATAAGGGAGCCAAATGTCTGTTGTGTTCAATTTGTTTAAGGGAGAAAAAAACATGATTAGCCTTATTAAAACAGGACTTTTCACTGCCAAGCTAATAACGGTCAAGTGCTTTCACAAGCCAAATACCCTATCAAGCGTTCACAGGACTTAAAAGCCTTGGAAGGGAAGCCATCATGCATGACCAATGTTTGGCTTAGTGCTTAAAGATATGGGCTGGTATTATGCAGTTGCTAGGTGGTTTCTTACTGCCCCAAATCAAAAAATCATAAGTCATATAGCTTAGAGAAGTCACTGTTCCTCAAAAAGCCAAACATGAGGAATCATTCATGACCATAAACTGTACAAGTTACTCGACAAATGCCCTTAGTGTTAGTGGTTTGTTCAAATCCCTAAACTAAGCAAATGTAATAGCAAAATACACCAATAAGCAATCAAACCTATTCTGTTTTTCTCAGGTTAGCAACTGTACCAAACTTCTTCCACTGTGCCAAAAGTAGCCAGGATTCTATCCACATAAATTATTGGATAATGCATAAAAATGCTGAATGGAAACACTAACATTTTTAAAATGGGTATGAAAAAGTATACGCTTGCATCGGTCCTGCCTAATCATTTTATTTGGTAAGAAGACATGCACATACGCTACAATGGAAACATGTACTTTACACATAAACATTCACTTTTGCAATATTCATTTTTTTCACAACACTTATTTTTCAACTTTGATGGTAACATACTACTGTTCAAAAGTTTGGGGTCAGTAATATATATTAGTTTTTAGAAAGAAAGAAATACATTTGTTCAGTAATTGGACAGTAAATACATTTATAATGTTTCAAAAGATTTTTATTTCAACATTGATACTAATAAGAAATGTTTCTTGAGCAGCAAATCAGCATATTAGAATGATTTCTGAAGGATCATGTGACACTGAAGACTAGAGCAATGATCCTGAAAATTCAGTTTTGCATCACAGGAATAAATTACATTTTAAAATATATTCAGATAGTATACATTTATTTTAAATAAATAAAAAAATATTGTATTTTTGATTCAATTAATGCAGCCTTGGTGAGCAGAGACTTCTTTCAAAAAATCGTACCATTCCCAAACTTTTAAACGGTAGTGTAAATAGTCTCATTCAGATTGTGTCATTTGCCAATCTCACCTACTGTATAAGCACCAATTACTCTATCCACTCATTGAACAGACAATCATTATGCAGAAAGGTGCTTTGACTAATAATCACATCAGCAGTGATGACACTAATGAGGCATTGTGGGTGGACTGAAATATGATGCATTCTGACAATACAAAGGATGTTTTCATTTCGAAGGACTCGATACATGCGGCAAACCCCACATTTGTGTTACACCAATGTTCCTAGAGCACCATAATCATGCTCCTTCAGCTGTTGTTATTGGAAAATGATCAGTGTCTACACTTGATAAAGTGTAACGAATGGAGCAGTGCTAAAACAAGACTCCAGACAGTCATTAAGCTTTGTTACGCCCCGCACACCAAATCAAAAGGTCTTGAGTAGATCACGCCAGGTGCACTTATGATGAAATATGAGAAACTCTGCTCGGTAGTCTGATAAATCTTAATCCATCAGAAACTGTGACGCTGTAGCATGTGTTTATTAGAGCTAGTAAATGCCATGCTTATATTCAATGCCGCAGTAGTGCTAGCGACTCTATGAAATTATAATTTTGATGTGTCTTTATTGTAAAGAACTAAGCATGCATATAAACCCATAATATACTTGCTTTAATAGTGTTTTTACAGACTCGAGACAATGGAACCCCTGTGTGCGTGTGATGACTAGCGACGCAGCCCTGGTATCGGCACCAGCCGGGCGTGATCGGTGCCAACTCATTACTGTCGGGCATTAAACCCGACTTTGGCCTGTGCCGTCCTGCTGCACGCTATAGTGGAGCAGATATGGTGATAACTCCTCTGAAGACTGGCACTGCCACAAAGACGGCGCTTGCGCTAATGTAGCTTGGCCGTTTTTCCAGACAAATTTTGGTGTTGGCTGCCCATCATTGTTCTATCAAAGAGGGCTTTATGCTAGCAAGGAGATGAAGGGCTGCTATTGTGAGAAGTGAGTAACACGTAGTCGTGGCATTCGGTTCAATCCAGTAATTCATGTAAATGATGTGTGAACATGAAATGTTTTACAGCATGTTCTCTTTCAGGAATTTCACTAGATTTTCCAAATCACTCGGTGAGGATGGAAGTGTTTTTGAGGTCTTAATCACTCAATGTTGTTAAAAAGAGCAGAGCAGAGCATTTACAAAAAAAAAAAAAAAAAAAAAAAACAGAGAGCATCACATGCTCATGTATAATTTAGATTACAAACTAGATATTTACATCTCTGAAGAGGAGTCTGATCATGGATGAAGATCTGGTCAGGTGCCTCCACCTTTGGTGGGAATAGCCGAGATTGCATTAATCTACTGCACTTATTGGACCAAAAAGGCCAATGTTGTCAGCCTTTAAATAGATGCTTAATTTGAAGCTGTGAAAAGAATCCCTGGTACGTGTGGACAAAAAAGGAAAGTTAAATGTATAGTTCACACAAAAATTACGATTATTTCATCCTTTACTCACTCTCATGTCGTTCCAAATTTGTATGACTTTCTTTTTTCCGTGTAACTCAAAAGGAAATGTTCATGCTGCTCTTTTCCATGAAATAAAAGAAAACAGTGACCAGTGGATCTCAAATATCTGGTACAAAAACTTAATTTCGGTATTTTCCTCACACAAAGCTATCATAGGGGTTGGAATATGGCATATTGGAATATGACTACTTTTATGGTGCTTTTGATGGAGCTTCACCACCCCTAGTTACAATATGCTTTTATTGTATGGAAATGAACTGGGTGAATTTGTGTTATACAGAAGACTGCAAGTCATACAGGTTTGGAAGGACATGAGGCTGTGTAAATGATGATTGAATTTTCGTTTTTGGCAGAATTATCCCTATCTCTTTATTATCTTCTATTATTTTGGGGTCGGTAATTGTTTTTGAAAGAAGTTTCTTATGCTCACCAAGGCTGCATTTGTTTGATTAAAAATACAGTAAAAACAGTAATATTGTGAAATATTATTACAATTTAAAGTAACTGTTTTCTTTTTGAATATATTTTAAAATGTCATTTATTCCTGTGATGCAATGCTGAATTTTCAGTATCATTACTCCAGTCTTTAGAGTCACATGATCCTTCCGAAATAATTCGCATATGCTGATTTTCTGCTCAAGATACATTTCTTACTTACAATGTTGAAAACAGATGCTTAATATTTATTTGTTGATGCAGGATTCAAAAGAACAGCATTTATTTGAAATAGAAATCTTTTGAAATATTATGAATGTCTTTACTATCACTTTTGTTCATTTTAACTTGTTCATCCGGAACAAAAGTATTAAATACTGACCCAGAACTTTTGAATGGTAGTGTATGTACCATTGTAGTATCATCTTTATACTTCATGACTCTTCATAATTCATAAAATATTATAACCCAAACTATAAAATATGGCTTAATGGAATGAAATTTCACAAGACAAGATTTTCTGATTATTGTACATTTTGTACAATGTGTTTTGCTGGAATTAAATTGAAGCCAAACAGATTTTTTAAACTAAATTGGATAAATAATTTTCATTAAAATAAAGAATTGTCATTATTGAAATTTCTGGGACCCCAAACACAAATAATGTTACATGAAGTCCATCTTCACTGTACAGTATATGAGGGTTAGACAAGTATCATGCTCAGATATTTGAAGTACTACAGTGCTTCTCAAAAAACAGTTCTCAGATGTATTTCATTGCATGCAAACAGAGGTGATGATGGAGCAAAAAATGTGATGCACCAGAACTCATTTTAAGACAATAACAGGGCCTCTAAATCAGTTTTCTACACCATTTAGACTCACTTGTGGCCCAGCTCATGAGCGATGGTGAAGGCCAGGTTGAGTCCGTTGTCCTCTGCCAGCACACACTTCCTCTTGGAGCTACAGGTGCCACCTAGATAAGCAATTCCTGAGGAAAGAGCAAAGCACAGAGTGAGAAGATAATGGACAGAAGAAAAGCACAACTGAACCACAAATCTGATACTTTACTGTTTGAAGGGTCATTCACAGAGACTGGAGGACATTTAAAATATATCAGAACACACCTAGCAACAGCACAGCAACCTGGCAACCAACCAAATGCTCTTACCTTCGTGACAGCAAGTTTGCACAATTAACAGTCAGAAGGTCTTCAGAAAATGTAAAAATCTAGCCACTTAATTTTAGTACAAACTGATACCAAACACATGCCCTATGCATCAAAAATGTGACATCAGAATCTACGTCACATCACAGACTATCACCTTTCCAGTGTTTCTGTGAAAGCACCTGGTTTGTGTCTGACACTGGACGAAACCCAGACAACCTCACTTAGCCTCTGACCGCCATAAGTGAAATCAATAACTAGAAAATGAAATTCAGCCCAGATGCTTGTGTTAAAAAAGAGGAAAAAAACAATACAAAACTGTGTTTAGGATGACAAGAGAGCAGTTTGGTCCTGCAGAGGGACTATATGGAATACACTGTAACTCAACAGGAAATGAGAATGTTTGATTGCATGATGATATATCCCATTTTTCAGATTGTGTGGTTTTTTGCAATATCATGCTCGTAGATTAGAACTGCATTATACTGTTAAAGAAAACTTTATGAAGAATATATAAAAATATGGAACATTCATCAGGCTTCCTCAACTGGTCATATCCACACACAAAAAAACAGCAAATATTAGTCTTAATATTAGTTAGTCTTTCTAACATTTTGTTCACTTTGTCTACTCAATAGAAAAATCAAACCAGTATTCATTGAGATATGCATCATACAGATGTTTTTGGCAGTTTAAAGCTGCACCAGAAACAATAGCATTCAATTATTTAACTAAAAATATACTACTGAACTGTTTCTCTCTTCAAATCCTCACTTACCTCTCTCTCCTGGACTAGTTTACAGGGGCTGTGGGAATGTTTCTTATTTTATCTTATCTTATAGCATCTTATTTTTATTCTGTAAAAATAACAGAAAGCATTTTCTATTAGTAAATTATGAAAAAGTTCTTGCCTGGTTGTGAGCACAAGCCTTAAAATGTTGTCTACATATATAGAAGCTGGCTACAGTAGGTTTTGGAACAAGTCGATTATTACTTTAATTAATGTGAACAAATAAGCACGAAGCATCTCATACATACTAACACACTCTTCACTGGCTTGTGTGCAAAACAGCTGTTTACTATCAATACAGAATAAAAATACTGAACAACAACAGCATGACTTAAAAGGCCCAAAAGAAAAAGGCAATGATAAACAAGCACTTAACACAGCAAGCACTCAACACATCTTATTAAACAAAAACAGACTAGAAATAATTTCTTCAGATGGTCTTACATGTTTCACACAGTGGTTCAATAAATATTGTTCTAAGGCAACAGGACAGACACCCGCCTGGAAGCACTAAAATATCTAAAAATAAAGGGAAATTTGGATGTTCCACTGTAGATCATAAATCAGCGTTTCTTTGTTATTTGGTCACAATGTTTGATGACTGATGCTGGAAATAATTGGCATGTAAAAACAAATCAACTGTGCTTCATCATTCTTCAAAAAAAACATATCATACCGAATCCATGTATGAAGACTGAAACCCTAATTCAATCATCAAACGCAAAAACTGTAATATCATATTAGCAATATAGATGACTTGATGATTTGCTTGTGTCAGGATGGTTTTTTTCATCTGTACACATGGAGCTGTGGTTTAAAACACATGTTGGAAAATAATGGGCTATGCCATTTTTTACACTGGCTGGAATTGTATGATGGGAAAATTATTTTCTTTGAGTGCCATATACAAAGAACAGCAGGTTGATTGGAAAACAGATGTTGTCCTAAATTCCTTCACTTCTCTTCTTATGCTCTATTTCTTTTCTCTTTTTTTACAGCCATGCATACTAAGACAAGAGCTGCAATTATATCTGCTACATCTGTCATTGACTGATTTACAGTTTAAGGGTCAGATGAGTTCAAGTTTCTGTAAGCAAGTCTCTGCAATAGTTCTGTGCAGTTATTTGTAAAGCTTGCTCTGAGTTGATGGAATGTAATCTATAATGTGTAATGATTGTCTGGATGTGTGAACTACAAATGACAGACAGGTAGGCTAAATAAGGTACAACTTCATTGCAAATGAATGGAAATGAGAGCTCGACAAATTATTTAAACCCCCTCCTTTTAATTTAATTCATTTTACTTGCTGAATTTGAAAACAGGATGAGAAATTTATGAATTTAAGGATAATTAAATAAGTAGTTAAAATGACTGAATTTCAAAAGAAATTCAAATCCACTGTAATTATTAACTACACAAGCAAAGTTTGAGACAAAAGGGCGATAGATACAACGATAGAATGACAGATTGATTGATTGATTTTTCTTATCAGTTATACACACAATGTTACATATAATGTACATCTAATGGGGTTTATGTTACATCTAATGTTGTTAAATTAATGTTTATTGCATTATTTTAGAGTCATGTGTGTTACCATGATGGTGATCATGTTTAAACCATTTATTTGTGTGAATGACACTGTGTACCTTCTATATATTAGTATTTACTTCAGCTTGTGGAAAAGCTGCTTGTGCTGAGGACAACATTAGCCTTCCTGTCCCTTCAGCGGGCAGTTCAGAGTTGTGGCAGGAGTGACAGGAATTGCCTTTTTGTCGCTCACTTTTGACGTTGTGTCGAATGAGAGACACTAGGGGTCCCTATATTAGAAGCCACAACCTGAAGCAGTGCAGATGCTATAGCACAGTTTATGCGTGCCAAAATGACAAACGCAGCTGCGCCGTCTCGCAACCTTCCAACGCCCATGGTAAATTACCTTCGGTGCCATTCTGAGGCACACAACCGCCTAGTAAAAGGGGCTCTAGTCTGTGTGACTCCTCCACGTCTCATCCAGGGACCATACGTGGAGGTTCCAGAGGTCTGGGTGGAGGTGCCAGATTGTGCCATGCTCCTGAGAAAGTAGGTCCTTCTTCAGGGGAATTCGCCAGGGAGGGCCGATACCATCAGCATAAGCTCTGAGAACCAAGTCTGGTTGGGCCAGTAGGGTCTTGATCTTGCATTTGATGCACAGTGTCTGTGCAATGAGGCTCACTGGGGAAAAATATGTACTTGCACAGGTCCCGAAGCCAGCTGTGCGCTAATGTGTCCATGCCAAGGAGGGCCTGAGTCGGGGAATACCACAGAGTGCAATCGGAAGATTCCTCTGAAGCAAAAAGCTCCACATTAGCCTCGTTGAATCGGCTCTAAATCAGCTGGACCACTTGGGGGTGGAGTCTCTATTTTCCTCAGAGCGTTACCTGTCCTGAAAGCATGTCGGCTGCGCGATTGAGAATGCCCGGAATGTGAGTGGCTCGCAGGGAATTTGACCATGTGAATCAACACATGCTTGCCATGAACCAGTGGGCGAAACCATTTCAGTGCACATATCACAGCCAACAACTCTAGGCAGTTGATATGCCAGTGCAAATGGGGTCCTATCCAGTGCCCGAAAACTGCCCAATAGCATACGGCGCCCCAGCCTGTGCTGGAGGCATCTGTTGTGACAACAACATGCCTGGACACTCGCTCTAGGGGAACACCTACCCATAGAAATGTGTGGTCTGACCAAGGAGTGTTCGGTGTGATGGCAACATGATGTGTGCCACGGCGCCATGCATATCTCTGGATTCACTAAAGCGGTCTCATATGCATCAACCCCAGCGTCGAGAGCCATGAGTGTCGAGTGTTAGGGAATGACCCAGCGAAAGAGCCGTCAGTCGTGTGGCATCTGGCAAAATAAGAGGAAAAATTTAACAAAAATTCTCTTCCTGTCCTTCAGCGGGATTGAGGCCCGTCATTTCAAAGGTGGGCAGGTCAGTGGGGTCTCCTTCATCCATGGGTCGCCTATCTCACGGCCGCTTCGAAGCCTTAGGCGGGTTCTTAGCTGCCTGGTGATTGACGGGCAGCACCAACTTCCTATGAGAGGACCGTAGCGTTCAAGCTGCTAACCCAGGCTCCTTGGCGGATGGGCCCGGTGCAACCTTTACAGTGGGCCAACCTTGGCGACGAGCAGGCAGGGGCTGAGGCCTCGGGGAGCTGGTGGTCCAACTGCATCGAGGCAAGATGGGACTGAGGGCCTCCGTCTGCTTTTTTACTGCTGAGAACTGCTGTGCGAAGTCCTCAACAGTGTCATCAAGCGTACTTTCTCGGCCACGCACATCTCTGCAAGTTTGAGCCATAGGTGGCGCTCCTGGACCACAAGTGTGGACATTGTCAGACCTAGAGCCTGCGCTGTGACCTTCATGGCCAGGGGGGCAAAGTCGGTCGCTGAGTGCAGTTCCTGCATGAGCTCTGGATCACTACTACCGTTGTGAAGTTCTTTTAACAGAGCGGTCTGATAGACCTGCAGGATGGCCATTGCGTGCAGAGTAGAGACCAGCAGCACTGTAAGCCCTTGCTGTAAGAGATTAGGAAAACTTACAGGCCCTGGTCGGGAGCTTCAGGGGACTCCTCCAGGTGGCGCCATCCTGAAAGTACAGATGCACCACAATCATATGCTCAACTTGTGGGACCCCGAGTATCCCCGGGCTGACACACCGTCGAGGGTAGTGAGAGCTAATAAGCCCCCAAGCTGTTATCTGGCGTAAAACAGAGCCTTCCATGATTTGGTGAGTTCATCATGCACTTCCAGGAAGAATGGAACTGGGGTGGGGTGAGGCAGCGCATCGAATTGCACTCTAGGCCAGAAACCAACTATCCAGCCGCAAGTGCTCAAGACAGGGCGGAGGGTTCCACTTCAGCCCAATGCTTATGACTGCCCGGGAAAGTAGAGCTACCAACTCTGTCACACTCAGCCTGAGTCGTCACACCCGAGGGTGGGAGACCAGGTGAATCTTCAGCCTTCGAAGACAATAGCTAATCCTCCGATGCTGCG